AAAAAAATCACTTATCATAATTACTATTTATAAATACAATATTTCTATTTTAAAACCGTAGGTGATAGAAATATCCCTTTTTATTTTCTTAGTGATCTGTTGTAAATTTACTGATTTTTTTTAACGCATCTTTTTTGTCAATCTTAACGATAAATATGCGTTATTCAGAAAGACGGACGAGGAAAAATTTTAAAAGTTTACAGGAAGTAAAGAAAAGTTGTGCAACTTTTCTATAATTCAAGTAGTTCTGTCTTTCTTTTTTTAGTTTTTCTCGGTGATTTTCTAGTTGCTGGATCTAAAGATGTAACGCAAATAAATAAATATAAAAAGAACAAAAAATTTAAAGTGACAAAAATTGAAATTAAAATAGAAAACACAACAGAAAACAACACCAGACAATCACGTTTACAAACACGAATATTTCCCGACATACTTTCCTGCTTCACAATGGTTAATTTGTTGCGTCACACAAGACGATCGATCGGAAGACACGTGATCGAACTTCTCACGTGTAAAACTCGAATGAGGTAGCTTTTTATCAATACATGACGATAAGAAATCACTCTTACGCCATTTGCGAGTCGGACGATCGGATGATGGTTCTTATTCTTCCTGTTCTAACACAGAGAGGAGGGGGGAAATGCATTGACGGAAGACGAAGCTTTATTTTGCGTCCAAAATAGATAAATTATGACATATCAAGCATATATATTACAATTTAACCACTTCTGTTACGCTAGAAACTAATTTTAAAAAAAGATTTTCTTAACTAGAAAGGCATAAACCGAAACTATAGTAATTAAGTTACGCATTATTATTATTATTATTATTTTCTACATTTTTTAATAATCGAAAAATTTTAATAAAAATGTATTAAAAAATACAGAGATGCTACATATTTGATTAACCTTCCATTGTTTGCAATTAACCCCACGTATGTGCGATTAATCAATTATTTATTTTACAAAAAAATAATTTACTGTGACGTAATTTAAAAAATAAAAAAAAAAGGTCTAATTAAACAGGCATCGACCAATCGTAATTCTTTAACGCTTTTTCACGTGAAATCGGTTATTTTACGTCATCGCCAAATGACACGCGTCCAATGGACGGAACAGATTTGTCGTCTCACCGGTGACGTCATGGGTGAGGAGAGCCACGGCTCTTCACTATTGGACGATTTCACGTGGTGTCATATCACCCGACTGTGTGTGCCGCAGACCGGCATTTGGTGTTGTGTTGGTAGATAGGTTAAAAGAGAAAAACGGGAATATCACATCAGATAAAAGTATTGAATCATTTCTGATATGATATATACTATATAAAATCCCACTATTTTGGAAATCGATAATTAATCGGTATTAAGTGTTTAAACGAAGCGGATCGATCGGTGAGTTTTTCAAATTCTAATCATTCCCCGGGTCCATATCCTGCCTTGTGATTTCTTCTTCTTTTCTTCTTAATTCACTTACAAATAATCTTCTTCTTTAATTAAATAGTCCTTGCTTCTACTAAATCTCTTTCTATTTGTTCAATTAATAATTAAATTATGTCTGGTTTAAAGTATTTTAATTTGATTAATAATTAAATAGATCAAGCCTGTGTATAGATCATTTAAGTATGAAAGTTTTATTACATTTTATTAAATTTAAATTTCTTAATGCTAGTTAAAATCATATACAATATGCTAAAAGATTATATATATATTTTTTAGATTAAAAAGCCATATAAATATAATAAAATATATATTTTTTTTCTTGTTAATTTGTATATAAACTTTTAAATTTTTATATTCCTTTTTTGCTCATTTTTTGTTCTTGTTTTATGGTATTTTTTTAAATAGTAAAATAAGTTATTCTTTCTGTGTTAAATTAGCAAAAATTTAATAACCCACATGTTTGTACAATTTATTATAACTTCGTCTACATCATTCTTCCACGAAAAATTTCAGAATGGATTATTTTAAGTACATTACTGTACATTATATGCGAGGAAATAGGTGTTCTTAATTCTTTGCGTTGGATGTCGAAATGTTAATTATCTTTTTATAAATAAAAAAATTTTTAAAGACTTAATAAAATTTGTTACTGTATTTTACATTGCTTTTTTTTTTTTTGTTTTTGAAGTATATAAGAAAAAAACACCATTTTTATTAAATTCTGGGGTAATTTTCTCCTCCACAGATGATAACCCAGTGACCCTATGCTTCCTAAATGGCTACGTGGTCCTTAATTAAAGATCTGTTTGATTCCCCCGAGCTTAAATTTTTTTTATTCTAAAATTATTTGTGTAATAAAAATCCAGTTTGTCTTAAATACTTTTATATATAAAAAAAAAATTTTTTTTATCTTGGTAATAAATAGAACTGATGATTTTTTTTTTCTTTTATTTATTTCACAAAGTACTTTTTTCTTTCTAGATTTCACAATAATAAACACTGCATTCTTGTTATGTGAAATCTACTGGCATTATCATTTAAAACACAATAGCTAAAAACATTTTAAATTTAAATATAATATTATACTGTAGGAAAAAATGGGCCATTGAAGGTCAAGAACCTTTTATTTGAATAATGTAGATTCATTTATTATTATTATTGTAGCATTGATTTTTCTAAGAATAATATAGTTTTTTTTTTTGTTTTTAATTTTCTGTCAACATCCTTATTATAATTTCCTTCTTTTTAAGGAATTTTTAAAAAATTAAATGTGTGTTAAAATAAATTCTAATAATGAAGTTTTTATCTTCAATTCTGAAATTTATTTAAAATAGTAGATTAATTTCTGTTACCAGAGGAAAAGTACATAAAATATTTTTCCTTTTGAGGATATACTCAATGTTTTATGTTTATTTGATATGGTAATGATTTTTATTTTCTAATTAGTAAATTGCTTCAGTGCAAGAATACTAAATGTTTTGTATATTTCAAATGCTTATATATTTTTTATTGGTGTTTTTATAAATTTAATTACAATAAACAGATTACCTAATTTTAATGATATAATCATAGTATTATAACAATTTTTTTTAATATAATTTAATTAATTAAAATTTATTATCTCAAATAATTTATTAAATAAACTTATACATAATGTTGAATTTTTAAAATTACATTATAATCAAATATACCAAACATATATTTTATAAATTTATATATAAATATTTATTGTAAATATAATGTTTAAAAATGTTACCTGATCAAAATATTAAGAAATATTTTGCTTTTGGGAATAAAATATAATAGTTGAATTTTTACACCTGTAACGGAATTCAAACTTGTGATATATGTATTTATTTTGACTATAATTACAGTAAATTATTCTACATATAATCTAATAATAAATTTAAATCAGTTTATACTTTAGAGAAAATTTATTTACCATACTTTTTAGCCATTAAAAATATATATCAGTTAATACTGTCTGCCAATTTTTAATTAAAAAAAAAAAAAATTATATTGCTTATAACTAGAGGACTGCATAAAATTGTATAAAAATTTTATATTTTGCAACTTAAAAAATATATTTATAAATTTATAGAAATTCAGATCAGATAATCAGAATTACAAGTTTAAGTAATTGTAATCTGAGTTAAGTAATTACTGAAAGTTTTTAAATTGCACTAAATTATTGAGAAACAATAGTTAAATAAAGTTACTAATTAATTAATAATAATAGTTTTTTGAGATTATAAATAAATTTTAAGACCTTCATCATATTTATTACAAAATTAATTCAAAAATAGTGTTTCAGAAAATTACTTTACTGAAATTTAAAAAATTTTTGCTGTGTTTAATTTAGAGCTAGCATTAAGGCTAGTTTTGCTTGAAAATGACATGAGAGGTGAAGAATTTGTTTACATAATTATTAAGAAACATAATGTTGTTAACGAAGATTTCGAAATTAATAAATATATTTTTAAAAAGTTTTAGTCATTAAAACAAAAATAATTAATTTATTTTTTTAAATTAAAAATATGATTTGAAATAAATTAGGTTTTACCTAAACCTAAATAAAACATTTAATATAAAATTTATTATTTTTTCTAGAGAAAAAAGATCAAAATGCCAGCACAGTCAGAAACCACAACATTGTATCCTTCAGAAACTACAGTGAAAAGTTATAAAATGCCCAAATGGGATGTCACGGAAAATATTGTGATAAGTGGAATGGCAGGAAAATTTCCTGAATCTGATAACATGAATGAATTGTGGGATAATTTAATGAATAAGGTAGATATGGTTACAGCTGATGAAAGAAGATGGGAAATGGGTAAGAATTGTTATAAATAATTTTAAAAAAGCATTAATCTGATTTACAAATATATAGAAATAAGTCATATATTGCAACAACAGAAATTTGATTATTGGTAGATTTTTCTTTTAATTAATATATAAGTAAATTGCATAAAATAATAATATTTTGGTTGCCTAAATTATTGTAATTTTTTTTTCTAAATAAGATAAAAATCATGTTGATAAATCTGGAAGAAAACAATAAAATTCAAATATCACTTTTTTTAATTTTGAATAAAATTTTAAAATTGAGATACAGTTGACTCCCCCATAACACGGTAGATACATTCTGGTTTTTATGAATCCATTTTCTATGAGTCCAGCCAATCATAACCTGGCACATATGCAGTTTATGGACTACGGCTGTTTGAAAGGTTTCTTCCATAAAATTAATCGATTCTAGACTAATTTGACTCAACATTTCCAAAACATAATTTTTTGGGAATAATCCATATAAACTATGCTATAAATAAAAAATTGTAGGATTACTTACCAAGTGTGCACTGTTCGACGATGCCATTGTTTAAGCTTGTTTTTGTCGCGGAGCGGTGCATCGAACGGCGGGCGCATGCTTCCTGATAAATTATTTTTTTGCAAAAAATTCGCTGAACTTTGGAGACATCATTAATACAAATATAATTTTTATAGATGTTAAATAATAAATGGTTTTTACTAGGTCCACTGCGCGTTTAAACTCAATGGTTTGTACAATATCCGCTATTGGTCTAGATTCGATCAATCCTGTCGCAACACGAGTTGGCGATGATGTTTTACCGAATTATACGAGTTTTTTTTAGCATGTTTGTACAAATACTGTTGCAATTTTTTCTCCGTGATATAGGAATCCGAACTACAGGCATACCTCGACTTACGTCGTTTCGAGTTACGTCGTTCCCGATTATACGTCACTTGTTAAAAAAGTATATGGAAAAATAAAAATCAAGTTTAAGTCATTTTATTCGACTTTACGTCTGTCCGCTACAAATATTGAAGTCATAATATGACTAGAAAAACGTTTAAAGCACATAAAATCATATTAAAATATATGCAAGTACGTACTGTATTTACAGTACATGCATTCGTAAATTTAGATTACTTTTTTTGTACTATATTAAAAACTAAAATTTATTTGTTTGTAAGCTTAAAATAGATTTTTATTTGCCATATATTATTAAAAATGCATTAATAAATAAAATACAGAACCGGAAATGGTAATTTACGGTTTAGCCTAGTGATAAGTAGATTCGGAGACAAGTAAATTCGACTTACGTCGTTTTCCTGGAACCAATTACCGACGTAAGGCGACGTATACCTATATAGGAACCCGTGTTATAGGGGGGTCGACTTTAATTCATATAAAGATTATTCCAGTTCCAATATTTTTTAATTTGAAAAATCAATATGAATACTAAAATTAATGATGTTCCAGCTAACATGAAATAATTTTCAAACAAAAAGTGCTTTAGAATTTTCTATTTAATATAAAAATATCAAAAACGGTTTTTAATTGCAGATATAATGGAGAAAACAGAACAGATATTAATCTTAAAATTTCTTTTGATGTTTGAAAGAACATTCTTTAATTCTAAAGCCAAATATTCAAGAAATATTTTCATTGATTTTTATGATTTTAAATAGATTATTACTGATAATGCTACTAACTAAAAGAAACACAAAATATAATTAAGAATTAGTTTATTTAATCATAGAATTATTCTTTATTCAGAAAATCTCGCAATTCTCAGTTAAAAACATAACTGTATAGATATCTTGAAAATTTATTTTGAAAGATTTGACTGAAAATATAGTTTTGAACAAGATTTTATTATTTATGCACTCATTATTAAATTATAACAACTTAGAGCCATAATACAAATAATTATCTTAAGTGTGATATTAAACAGGAATCTTATTATAACAAGGCAAGGAGACAGATTAAAAGGAAAACAAGCTCATTTTTTTTTCTTTTTCATGTATAAATTTTGTGGAATACATTTCAGAGTAAGTCCCTTGTCAGCCTTTACATAGGCTGAATTACAAAATGGGGTGCACATCTATAAGTATTTTTTTTTCATTACAAATTATATTGTAAAAAGTTTATTTTAAGAAACATAAAAAATGGAAACTTACATTCACTGTAGAAATTTATACATACAAAGATATATTCTTTATTACACATTTTACAAAAACCATATGTATTGGTGAAAGCTTAAATATAGGACAAACTGTCAGAAATTTACTTGAACTTGTTATTGCTTTTAACAAATCCTTCTTCTTCTATCATTCTATGTAAAGGCTGATGAGGGACATGCTCTGAAATGAATTCACAATAAAATATATACAGGGAAAAGAAAAAAAATGAGATTTTAAAGGGAAATAAACTGTGTCTCCTTGCCTCAGTATAATAAATTTGATATTAAATGACAATCTTAGAGCCATAATATAAATCACATTTGAACAATCAGATAAGACTCAATTTCAAAACATAAGGTAAGTTTTTTTAAAATATTGCATAAAAATATTTTAGAAAATCTGTGTATCAAAAAATAAGAATTTTACATAATAATAATTTTAGCTATACATGAGCCAATGATTAATTACTTGAACACTTTAATTTAATTTATTTGACCCATTTAGCTGAGTTTAAGACCAATTTTAAAAATTGCAAGATTCTTCCTCTCTTGTATGAAGTAATAATTATTATTTTTTTACTACACTAAACATATTTATAAGTTGAATGTCTCTTGAATATTAATATTCCAAAGCATTGCTATTGCATTAATCAATCTATAAAAATTGAATTTTTTCCATATTTTTTTGTAAATTATACTTCACTTGTATTATTTTTTTATAATATATATTACCAAAAAAATTATAATTACCTTATTTTAAAAAATAATTTTAGGTTTATATGGATTGCCTTCAAGACTGGGAAAATTAAAAGATTTAACAAGATTTGATTCAACATTTTTCGGAGTCCATCCCAAACAAGCACAGTTTATGGATCCACAACTCAGAATTCTACTTGAAGTAACTTATGAAGCAATTGTTGATGCTGGTAAGTTTTTGATGAAAAAATTTTGGAATTAAAAATACTTTTTATTAGAAAAATTTAATTTGTTTTTATTAAAATAGCAAATTAAATTAAGTTTTTTTTAATCTAAATTTTTATTATTAAAATATTTTTTTTATGCGCCTACTAAGTATATGAAACATGTAGTAAATATAAAAACTTATTAAATAATTTTAAATATTATTAATAAATAATTATTTAAATTATTTCAGGATATGATCCAGATGAATTAAGAAATTCCAGAACAGGTGTTTTTGTTGGAGTATGTTCTTCAGAGAGTAATGACTTTTTTGCTGGCGATATATCAGAAGTCAATGGTTATGCTCTTACTGGATGTTCATTTTCAATGTTTGCAAATCGTATATCATTCACTTTTGACTTTAAAGGTGTGTACATAGAAATAAATTATACATATATATCTAATATAATAAAGTTAATTCAAAATCCAATATGAAAGTAAATTATNTTCTTAATTCACTTACAAATAATCTTCTTCTTTAATTAAATAGTCCTTGCTTCTACTAAATCTCTTTCTATTTGTTCAATTAATAATTAAATTATGTCTGGTTTAAAGTATTTTAATTTTATAGATATTTTTGAAATTTTTTTACATAAAATTAAATAAATTTTAAATTTATATATTTTTTCAATAGGTCCAAGTTTTGCTATGGACACAGCTTGCTCATCAAGTCTTTTTGCAATGCAACAAGCAGTCTTAGCAATTAGAAGCAATCAGTGTGATGCTGCTGTGGTAGCAGGATGCAATATTTGTATTAGACCAGCCACATCTTTACATTTCTTCAAATTAAATATGTTGTCTTTAGATGGAACCTGTAAAGCATTTGATGCTTCTGGTATGTTTTTAATTCAGATTAGTTTTAATCTTTATTAAAAATCACTTAAAAATTTATTAATAGGTCCTAATATTTTCATTGAAAAATCTTGCAGCAAATGGATATTGCCGATCAGAAACAATAGGAGTTGCATTTTTACAGCGTGAAAGTAAAGCAAGAAGAATATATGCTATAGTTTCTCATGTTAAGACAAATACTGATGGATCAAAATCTGAAGGTTCATATTACTTTTGCTTAAAACATATATATATTTTAATTTTTTTTTTCTCTTTTTAGAATCTTTGTTAAACTTAAAAATATATTATTAACAGGGATAACATTTCCATCTCAATCTGTACAAACTGAATTAATGAAAGCTGTATATGAAGAATCTGAAATTGATCCATTAAAAGTATGCTATGTTGAAGCTCATGGAACAGGTACTAAAGCTGGTGATCCAGTAGAAATAGCTGCAATTTCAAATATATTTTGTAAAGGAAGACAGCGTCCCCTTCTTATTGGTTCTGTAAAAGCTAGTATTGGTCATGCAGAACCTGCATCAGGTTAGTGACTGAAAATACTTTCTCAAAAAAAATTGTTAAAGAAATTGAAATACAAAAATTAATTTGATTTTTCAAGTATCTATTTTTAAGGATTCTTTCTTAATATATAGAAATTTTTGTTTTACATTTAGGTGTTGGTGCATTGGCCAAACTTACAATGGCATTAGATAATGGAATTATTCCTCCTAATATACATTACTCAACTCCTAACCCTGATATTGTTTCATTGGTAGAAGGTAGAGTTAAAGTTGTCACTGAACCAACTCCCCTTGACACAGAATATGTTGCTTTGAATAGCTTTGGATTTGGTGGAGTTAATGTTCATGTCTTGTTAAGAGCCAATCCTCGCCTACCAAAATATGAAGAAATAAAATTACCACAGCTTGTACTCTGTTGTGATAGAGCAGAGGGTGGTGTATCTTCATTGTTAAATTATCTTGAAAATACTAAAGTACCATCTGAAACATATGGTTTTATACAAAACTTATCAAAACGTGCATCAATGATGTATAGAGGATTTACCTTATTAAAAGAAGGCCCCAAAAAAGTTTCAAGTGAAATAAAAGTAGGGTATCATTTTTGTTTTTTTTTTAATTAATAGTTTAAAAATTATGTTTAAAGAGTAATTTATTTTTATAGAAAATATCTTCAGAAAAACGACCAGTTTGGTTTATATTCTCTGGCATGGGAACTCAATGGCCTGGTATGGGCAAAGATCTTCTTAAACTAAAACCATTTGCTAAATCCATTCAACACTCTGAAGAAATACTTAAACCATTTGGCATTGACTTAATGCAAATATTAACAAAACCTGCAGTGGAAAGTAGCAATAAAAGAGAAATTATATCGTCGTTTGTTGCCATTGCTGCAATTCAAGTAAGTTACATAAACTATATTATAGTTTATAAGATAGATAGATTATTTAAAATTAAGAATATTTTATTTTTAAAAAAATTATTATATTTAGAAAAAGATATTTAGAAAATATTTATTTTTAATAATTAACTTAAGTAGTTGAAAGAAAATTTATATAATTTTTTATTACCATCAGTATGCTTTAAATTAAATTTTTGATATTATTTATTTATTGAATATTTAGGTGGCATTAGTTGATACTTTAAGGGAATTAGGTGTAACTCCTGATGGTATTGTTGGTCATTCAGTAGGAGAACTAGGTTGTGCATATGCTGATGGTTGCTTTACTGCTGAACAAATGATATTATCAGCTTACTGGAGAGGAAGATGTGTTGAAGAAGCTAATTTAATTGCTGGTTCAATGGCAGCTGTTGGTAAGTAAAATAATTTTGTTTTTTCGAATGAAGAAATTGCAGGTTTCACTTGTAGAATTGAAATACAGTTTAACTACATAAAAAGTAGTTAACTTGTTTTAAACTATTCATAAATAGAAAAACAAAAAAGTAGACTGGATTAAAATAACTTCTGTTTTCATTTCAACCTTCTTTTATTTTGTTTTTTTAATTAATAGGTATTAAATGATATCTCAAGAATACAAATTTTTGATTTGACATTCTGCATTATCTAGATGTTAAAATTTGTCTTGACAAGGAAAACAGACATTCAACTATAACACTACTAGTGAGGATAGAACTGTATTGTAAAAGTGCATACTTTATGTGCCAGTAATTGTGGAACATACTTAAACTAATATTAGTTTCCAAATTCCTGATTTATTTTACATAAATTTCTGCCAATCACTAAGAAGTAGAATAATAATAATTTAGATATAAGTACAAAAATGAAAAATATACTTTACATATATTTTCTTACACATGTGCACTGCAAAATCTATTGAAATCTGATTGGTTTTGTTTGAATTTGACTTTATATTAACTGACAAAATATAAAAATTTCAAATGCTGAAATTGTTCAAAAATAAATAGTTTTGTCTAACTTTTGTCAAAGTCAACAAGTTTGGATACTCTATAAAAATAGACATTTGCTCTTGCATTATTACAATAGATTATTCCAACACAACTTTATAGTGAATTAAAAGAAAAACTAATTATTATAGGTAAAACTGAACATGTGGTTAACTAGTAGTTTAATTACCAAATTGGGACAGCAATTGTAACTTGTTAACTTTATTGAAAGTAGTTAATTACATAATTACCACTGTATGTGTAACGCACTCCCTGTTTGGGTGCCAGTTATGTAACACACTGCATAGCAAAAAAAAAAAACAGGAAGTTACACAACATTAGGGTTAAAGTGCTAGGCCTGGACTTGTAGGAGAACCAAAAAGCAATAATAATAATAAGAGATTCCTCCAAATGACTATGCCTACATGGAGAGTGATCATGACTGCTCGTGGCTCCCAGGATTTAATCACTACTCAACCGATTTACATAAGACACGGAATTTTTCACGGTGATTCTCTTTCCCCATTGTTGTTCTGACTGGCTATAAACCCATTTTCATTCATACTAAATAAGTATGAAAGAAAAGGCTATAAATTGAAGAATAGTAGCTGGATTAATCATCTCTCATATATGGATGACCTTAAGATTTATGCACATAGTAGAAATAGTCTAAAAGTATTACTGGATAGCGTTGAGATTTTTACAAGTGATATAGGGATGAGATTTGGACTGGATAAATGCAAAGTACTACATATAACTGCAGGACACAGGAGTAGTGCTATGGGTGAAGGACATATACTACTGAGTGGAGAGAGTTTCAAGCAACTTGCAATTGGAGATAGATATAAATACTTGGGTGCACAAGAATCAGGAAAACTAGAGCATAGCATCATTAGGGAACAGATAACAAAAGAATATTTTAGAAGAATTAAGGTGTGTATTTAAAAGTATTTTGATCCATGATATTTAATAAAATGTATAAATACATATACCATCCCAGTCTTGCTTTACTCATTTGGTATAATCAACTATAAAAATAGTGACCTAAGGAAAATAGATGTCAAAAAACAAAAGTTACTAGCAATTAAAAAAGCACATCAGCAAAAAGCAGAGGTAGAAAGATTGTATTTATCGGTAAATCATGGAGGAAGAGGACTATTAAATATAGAGTACATGTACAAAGCACAAATAGTTAAATATAAACAATACTTAGAAGAGGAAAGAGATCACTTGATCAAAGTAATAGTAAAGCATGATATAGGTAGGAATAAATATTCAATAATAAAAGAAGCGCAAGAGATAGAAGGTGAATTATATTTACAACGAGGAAAAATACATACAGATGAAGAAATTAAAAAATCAATAGTAAAACGGCATAATGTTGTTTGGAAAAATAAACAATTACATGGTCAATTTCCTAAAAAGGTGTTAGATCAGAGTAATATAGATAGAGAGCTTGCATTTGAATGGATTAAAAAGCAACAAATAGCCCCAAGTATTGAATCATTAATATTTGCTATACAGGACCAGGCTGTTATGACACGACAATATCAATGTGACATCTTAAAGGAACCAGTGGATGGGAAATGTCGCCTATGTGCGACTAAAGACGAGACCACACAGCATATTATATCAGGATGTGAAAAACTGGCAGAGACTTGTTATGTAAGACGTCATAATAACCTTGTCCAGTATGTCTACTGGTGCCTAGCCCGAAAACATAAAATAGAAGTTACTGACCAATGGTGGAAGGAAATTTTACTTAGCCACAAGTTAAGGAAAATAGTTTGGCTAAGATACTATGGGAAATGCTTGTCCAAACTGATGTCACTGTATCTCACAATAGACCGGATTTAATTTATGTTGATAAAAATCATAATGAAACATTTTTAATAGATATAACTGTACCATCAGATTATAACCTTGGTGCTAAAGAAATTGAAAAATTGAGTAAATATCATTTTCTGAAATTGGAAGTTAACCGCCTGTGGAATACACAGACGACTGTTGTTCCAATAGTAATAGGAGCAACAGGAATAGTAGCAAAAAACATAAAGAAATACATAGATCAATTAGAATCCAGCATTGATATTAGTATCCTTCAGAAACAGGCAGCTATACACACATCGCTTATACTCAATAGAGTGCTTGGAGATGCTATCTTTGAGGCCAATACAGCAGATCAGCAAAAGCATGATCTACATCAATCTCAAGGTATACAACAATCTTCAAATCAGCAGCAGTCATCAGATATACATCATTCATTAGTTAATCCGGATTTACCTAATACAACTTTTGAGACTTGTACTCAAAGCTCATTTGGAAACTTGTTGAGAAGAGGAAAAAGGAGGAGAAGAGGAACTATTTGCATGTAAAGTGCAACTAATACAGTAAAGGGGAGAAATAGGTACCTTCTTTCTCGTGGGTTACGGGATGAGGTATTCTTTATTCCGATGTAATTCGTGAATATTTTATTGCAATAAAAAAAATAATAATTCAATAAAACCATGTATAAGTAACAATTCACAATGAAATATTTATTAAATTGAATAATACAAAATAAACAACAATTGATTAATTGTGCCAACAGTTAGTTTATTTGTCAAATAGGCAAGTAACAAATAAATAAGATCTTCTTTGATTAATTATTTATTTCATACAATAGCAAATCCACAATCAAATATCCACCTAAAAGAAATACTTAAAGTATATGTTTCTTATGCTATTCACTTCTCAGAGACATGCCTACAATGGTTGTTGCCAGGAGCTACACCATACATCTGTATTGGATGTGCTGTCTTTTATCTGATGTTCAGTGCAGCTCCACACTGCCCTAATTTACATTATTTTGCATCATGAGATCAGTCACTGATACAAAATTAGTATCTCTGCCTTTTTGACTTTGTTTGCACAAAAAGGGTTTAGGAGTGTGTCCTTAAAAAAAAGAAAATAACTGTAACTAAAAATAACGCTCAAAAACATAAAATAACGAATGGATTAATTAATAACACATGTAAGGCATCAAAGTAAACTACTACTGGTCTATATTTATAAACTACATAAATTTTAAAATTTGCTGGTATTCTGATGCAATATAAGTTGATATGTTTTCACATCATATTTATCATTATTTCATTTTTATATCCCTGGACTGGTTCATTTTCTATAAATTATAGATAACATACTATCAGATTTTATGAATCTGATAGTCAAATGCAAGCAAATGAAAATAAGACATCTGTTTAAATTTGTTTTTTATGTAGTAACTTTTAATTGAAATCCATAGAAGTAAAACATGGCAAGTCTTTTAGGTTCATTTAGAGCACTATCACCAACAGCAGCAACAGACCTGATTTTATAGGAAAGCTAGAACTCCTAATTCTAGCATTCCTATAAATCAGGTGGGGAAGCTAGGACAAGGAAGAAGAAAAGTTGTACAATCAATTCTCAGTAAAGATAACTGGGAAAAAGACACAAAACAACATTGAAAATTTAAAGATTCTAAAATCCATGGAAAAATGAGACAATACATATGCTTTCTTGATTTAAAAAAAATAAGGAATGACTGCATTTGTATTAAAAAATTGTGAAGCTTTTTATGAGGATGTCTCCAATTCTTGAACTGTGTTAGAGTGAAACCATGTTGTATGAGGGTGTAATTTGATATTCTTTAAATATTTAAAATTGTTCAGTAGAAACACTGTTGAAAACATTTAATCTCATTTAGAAGTGTAAATGTTGCAGTTGTTAAGAACTTCTGTCTAGTTACTTAACAATATATAAATGTGCCTCTTAATTTGCTGTTATTGGTATTTTCATTTTCAAAATTACAAAAACATTATTAAAATAGCTTAATTTTGGTCTTGATAATGATAAAAGAAAACGTTAAGATCTATATTCTTTAATAGTTTTTCCTTAAAATGAACTTAAAAATATTATTTCATATAATTTAATTAGATCTTTAACCAATTTAGCATTAAAATAATAATGAATTATTTCTTTTTAAATTACATATAAAGGATGTAGACATATATTGTACCAGGCTCTATCTCACTTCCACTATGTAATGTAACAACTAAATGAAATTGTATGATTTTTATAATTTTTTGTGCCTAGATGTCCTAACTCTAGTCATTACATAACAGAAGCAAGATAGTTTTGAGCAATGTTTGTGTTTACACCCTGTATAACCATATGAATAATATAATTCAGAAAGATATATTAAAATTTTAATTCTCTTACTTATTTAACTTTTTACTATTCATTCTGTAAATGTTGTTATGTTTTTAATTGAAATTTAAATTAGAATCAAATGTTTTCTAAAGTCTTTATGCCATTGTAAAGCAAAATCCATATCTGTGTTTTTTCTAGGTTTGTTTGTGGAAAATATAATGATGAAAATTTTAAAATTAGCACATTTTATTTAAGTCTTTTAATAATAATAATTCTCAATATGGTTTTTCTCCAGGTTTGACTTGGGAAGAAACTAAAAAGCGATGTCCTGAAGGAGTACTTCCAGCCTGCCACAATTCTGAAGATACTATAACTGTCAGTGGCCCTACTGATAAGATTGGTGCTTTTGTCAAGCAGATGCAAGCTGAAAATATATTTATAAGAGAAGTAGATAGTTGTGGATATGCTTTTCATAGTTGTTACATTAATCCTGCAGCTCCTGGCTTACAAAGAGCTTTAGAAAAAGTAAATACTTTAAAAAAGTTCTGTTACAACTATAAAAGTTTATATATATATATATACTGTGTGTATATATAATGTTTATAGGAAATTCTTGTTAGTTTAAAATAGAGGTCAAAATAATCAAGATTTCAAAATAGTTTTGAATTATCCAAGATTTACATATTTCTGTACATTATGCCAAATGCCATGTAACTGATGTAATTGAGTAAACAAATGGAATATGGCTATGTATACAGAACATTACTTTTGTTTTATTTATATTATTATTAATTAATTGCAGATAAACAGCGTGTCTGGTGAGAACCAGAGGTTGCCAGATAAGTTTTAATAAAGGTAAAGCAAAATTCTCAAAATGGAGCCCAAATTATTTTTTAAAGTTGCTCAAAAGGTAGTAAGTCACCAAATCTAGTAGCATAGAGCTCTAAAAATATCTCAATCTGTTACTGTAGCCTAATCTTGCAACCCTGAAACCCAGTCATATTTTATAAGATAACAGAAAAAGGGTAGTCAATGATGGATAAATTGACACCTGAAAATGTGTTACTGTAAAAGCAAAGCCATGTTGCCAAATTAGAATTATTTGTGGTCTGTTATTCTCTTACAGTATGGAGGCATGTGAACTTCAATTTAAATATACAAGTTAATATTTGCATATTGCAGTTCAGACAGAATTTTCATTTTTAAGTTTCAAAGTAGCCATATTTCAAACTAACCAAATTCCGTAATGTATAAACAAACCTCTATGTCCCTGGTCAGGACAGTACAGTTACAAAACTAATAGGATTACAAACTATCAGAGTTCTAATTAACAAGGATTTCCTGTACATATATTATTAACACATTAATTTATTTCAGTTACAATATTTTTACAATTAATTATGAGTTTTTGTATTTTAGATTATTCCAAATCCGAAACCACGCACACAACGCTGGATTAGTTCCTCTATTCCAGAAAGCAATTGGGATACTCCAATTGCCAAGCTATGTTCTGCAGCTTATTTAGTTAATAATTTGGTATCTCCAGTATTGTTTAGAGAGGCACTGGCTCATGTTCCAGCAAATGCTATAGTTATTGAAATTGCTCCACACTGTTTGTTGCAAGCTATTTTGAAAAGAAGTCTTAATGCAAACTGTGCTTTTATAGGATTAATGAATAAAAAGGAAAAAGATAATCTGGACTATTTCTTATCTTCAGTTGGAAAGTAAGTTAACTGAATAGAATATTAAGATTCAATAAATTTTTTTAAAAAATAGCTAATACACTTTATTGCCATTCTAAACTATATTTTTAATTTTATAATTTCTATTTCTTTTCAGAATGTATACCGCTGGTATAAATCCTACTATTGAAAAATTTTATCCTGAAGTTAATTATCCAGTGTCAAGAGGTGTACCAAAATTGTCACCATTTATACAATGGGACCATTCACAAGAATGGAGAACTGCTTTATGGAAAGATCGTCCGGAAAGATCAGCTGGAGAATTTGTTACAGAAATTGATATATCTAATCCAGAATCTCCTGATTATTTCATGATTGGACATTGTATTGACAAGCGTGTTTTGTTCCCAGCAACTGGTTATCTTGTTCTTGCATGGAAGGCTTTGGCTAAACGTAAAAATCAACTAATTTCTCAAACAGCAGTTGAAATTGAAAATTATTCTATACATAGAGCAACCATACTATCTAAGACAGGTAGGTTAAATAAAATAGTGCTTTTTTAACTTATCCCTGAAATTAAGTTTTTACTTATTTAATATAAAATCTTTTAGGAAAAACCAAATTTACAGTAAATATCATGGATATTACTGGTGAATTTGAAGTGTGTGAAAGTGGAACTGTTGCAGCAAGTGGCATCATTAGGCTTCTTGATCAACCACTAAATATTGATGATGAAAGACTTACAACTGATATTGATAAAACATCAAATATTGTACTTGACAAAAAAGATGTTTATAAAGAACTAAGATTAAGAGGTTATGACTACGGACCTACTTTTCAAGGCATAATAGAATCACAAAGTAATGGTAAGTATTTATTGTAGAAAAATATAATCATAATATAAACTGTATCAGAATTCTAAAGCATGAAAAAAATTTGTATTAGAAAGAACATCTAAATCATATTATAAAGTTTCACAACACCTTTCTTTTTTCTAGTACTTTTTTAAATTTAACTAACATTTTTGGCTATTTTAAATGTCCTTCTTCAAGTTAAACAAAATAGAATGTCAATTAAAATAAAATCAGTATCAGTTATAAATCATTTTATATCAGTTGTAACATAACTAAAACTGAATTATTTTATAACTGACATTCTATTTTGTTTAACTTGAAGAAGGATATTTAAAATAGCCAAAAATGTTAGTTAAATTAAAGAAAGTGCTAGAAAAAAAAAGGTGTTATGAAACTTTGTATAATAAGTTCTAGTTTACTGCACATAGACTTGTAAATCATATTTATTTCAAAATTTTAACATATTCAAGTTTTTGAGAAAGAAAAAAATAATAAATTTTTTTGTTTTAATATTTATCTATTTTTAATGTGCTGGAACAGTAAATATTTTTCCAAAACAAATGCATTTGTGCTGTTTTTTTCCCAGACTTTCTAGAAATGCATTCTAAGCTGTTACTTAAAATTTGAATTTTATTATTTTAAAGACCTATATGATTTGAATTATGTTAAGAAGAAAATTTTGTAGTTGTGTTAAAGTTTTGACTTTTACGAAAATTCTTATTTAGATTTATTGAAAATTACTCTTAAATATTCATCATTTATTTAGCCACTCTTAACAGTTGAGAATAAGTTCTGTATTGATTTAAATAGTAATGATTAATAATTTTTTGAAAATAGGTGAATTAATTTTTTCACTGCATAAGTTTTTTAGAACTAGAATTAATTTTCTCAATTATGCAAGTGAAAACATGAAAAAAAATAATTTTTTATGTGATTATCAATTACAAATTTTGTTTTTATAACTCTATTGAAAGTAAAATGTCAAATGCAATTTTCATCAAAAAGTTTCAATTATAATTTATAACAAGTTATTGATCTTAAAAATTGAAATATTTGTCAACAACATTTAACGTAATGATATAAATTTCTGTTTTAAATTAGCAAATCTAAGAGCACTTTCCATTTTCAATGTTTATAATGATACTAATAAATATTGCTAATGAAAATAAAATACATACATCTTTGTAAGTTAAAAAAATTTAATTTTTGTACAGGTGAAAAAGCAAGATTAAATTGGTCAGAAAATTGGGAAGTATTTTTAGACAATATGCTCCAAGTCTCAATATTGAGTGAAGCCAGACGAGTATTAGTATTACCAACAAGAATACAGTCAATCAAAATTGATCCCAAGTATCATCAAAATACAATCACAGAAGAAGGTATTACTTTTAAAAAATAATAAAATTTAGATTTTATTAATTAAAATAAGTCTATTTACAAATTTAACATTTTAAAAAAATTTTTTAAGTTATTATTAACAAAATTATTTTGTAACAGGAATTCCTTTGGTATACGACAAATATGTAAATGAATGTATTGCTGGAGGAGTTGTATTGAAAGGATTGAAAGCTAGTCTTGCCCCAAGACGTCAAGATGTACAAAATCCACCTCTTCTGGAAGAATATCGTTTTATACCTAATAATGAAACATGCATATTGAGCAAACATGAAAAGAATGAAATTGAACAGTACATAGAAGTGTGTTCAGCACTTTCAAAAAAGATATTAGAAGCCAGTGGGAAAAATAAGGCCCAGATTTCAGATGTTATGAATGGCTTTAAGGAAGCATCTGATAAAGTTTTGAAAGATTATTTATCACTAACCAAAGAATCATTTATTGTTCTTAATAGCTTAAAAGAAATATCAGAATTACCAGTCAACAAAAGTTTCCAAGAAAATTTAAATAATATAGTAAAACAATTACAATTATCAATTGGTAATGATATTGTATCTACAACTATGCTAAGTGAGAGAGTTTTGAGAACAGCTCTTGATATAACTGTAGAAAATTTACTGACAAGAAAATTGAAAGTTCTTGAAGTTAGTTCTTCGTCTCAGTTCATAAGCAAAAAAGTTCAATCATACTTACTTAATTTTAATGTTCTTTTGAATGTTGATTATACTATCACTTGTCCTGCATCTGATCAAACTGAAGAAGGAAGTAAAATTATAACGTGGGACTTAGAATCAACTCCACCAAATGAATTTTCAAATTTTGACCTAGTTATTGCAAAAGATGTCTGTGGAAAATATAACTTTCAACAATTGTTAGAAAATATGACATCTTTCCTAAGAAGTGGTGGGTTTGTATTGTTAATTCAAAGAACTGATCTAACTCCTGCTGAAAAGTTTCTCTCTGCAGTTGGAGGTTTAACATTATCATTAAAATCACAAGAAGAAATAGAAAGTACTTTAAAAACAGCTGGGCTTTCAGTTATTTGCAAAAAGTTTGATGGAATTGCATCTAAATTATATCTTGCACGTAAAAATGATTCACTTAAGGATGTCAACACACATTCCATCATAAAGATTGTAGATGGGAAATATGATTGGGTTGAAAACTTGAAAGAAACATTATATAAACAAGAATCTGAATCTCCTGTTTGGTTAGTAGCAGAAGATAGTAATACCAATGGAATTGTAGGTTTGATGAATTGTTTAAGACAAGAAATGGGTGGAGTAAGATTGAGGTACTTTTTTAAATTCTTTCCATATTTTTTTTAATAAAATATAGAAATTTTATAAAAAATTATAAAATTTTAATTTTTATAATATCATTTTAGATGCATTTTTAATGCAAGCAAACAGAAATTGCCACCCTTCAGTTTTAATGATTCAGTTTATAAGGATTTACCACAGAAAGATCTTGCAATGAATNCTGAATAGAATATTAAGATTCAATAAATTTTTTTAAAAATAATTTTTCTATTGAATTAATTTTCACTAAATTATATTTCCATAAATTTTCAGAACAGTCTATTATGGCAGAACATGCTTTTGTTAACGTTATCACACGTGGTGATTTATCTAGTTTAAGATGGTTTGAATCTCCTTTAAATTATTGGAAGGAAGAATTACGGAGCACTCTAAAAGAAAAAATATGCCATGTATATTATGCATCTTTAAATTTCCGTGACATTATGTTGGCAACTGGCAAACTTCCTCCTGATGCCATTCCAGGTATAAATTCTTTTGAAACTAAATACATTAATTTGCTTAGACAAAATTATAGTTTTATTATAACTTTCATGAGATCATTATTTTAACTTTTTACTATTTCAAAAATTTATATGAAAAACCATATTTGAATAAATTATCTTCATTAAAATTATGTTAAAGTTAAAAAAAATCACATGTGAAGAATATTAACTCAAAAACTTTCATAGAAAAAGTTATTTTACAGTACACTGTTTAATAGATTTTAACAGATCATTTTTGCACATATTAACTAGTAAAATCTTTTTTAGGTGATTTGGCTACTCAGGATTGTCTTCTTGGTTTTGAATTTTCTGGTCGTGACAGTAGAGGAAATCGTATAATGGGTCTCAGTGAATCCAAGGGTCTTGCAACAACAGTATTAATGGATTCTTCCTTTATATGGTCTGTGCCAGAACATTGGACATTAGAAGAAGCTAGTTCAGTTCCTGTTGTTTATTCAACTGCATATTATGCCTTGGTTGTTCGAGGAAACATCAAAAAAGGAGAAAGCATTCTTATCCATTCTGGAAGTGGAGGTGTTGGCCAAGCTGCAATTTCCATTGCATTAGGATATGGTTGTGAAGTTTACACTACTGTTGGTAAGTAAATGTTGTTTTAAAAATTACAATGAAATATCAATTCTCAAAACTTTTCACTATATTTCAGGCTCTGTTGAGAAAAAGAATTTCCTCAAGCAGAGATTCCCACAATTGAAGGATCACAATTTCAGTAATTCAAGAGATTTATCCTTTGAAAAGCATATAATGACAGTTACAAAAGGAAGAGGTATGAGTTTGCTCTCAAAAATTTTTAAAATTATTGTAAACTTCAGTTTCATATATGCAATAAATTTATTTAGGTGTTGATTTGGTCTTAAATTCACTGGCTGAAGAAAAACTGCAAGCTAGTGTTAGATGTTTGGCACAACATGGTCGATTCTTGGAAATTGGAAAGTACGATCTTTCTAAGAACAGTGAATTAGGTTGGTTGGTTTTTAAACATTTTGACCAAACTAAGATGAGATATTTTAAAATTTTTTTATTAATCAGTTTTAAGTTAAATTTTTGTTTCATTTTAAATTAAAGGTATGGCTATATTTCTGAAGAACGTTAGTTTTCATGGAATTTTGCTTGATATATTGATGGCTGAGAATTTGACACCTGCAACATTTGAGCATAAAATGCAAGTAGTAAGTTTAGTCAATGAAGGAATTAAGTCTGGAGTTGTGCAGCCATTAAAAACAACAGTGTTTGATCAGACAAAAGTTGAAGATGCTTTCCGTTTCATGGCAAGTGGCCGTCATATTGGAAAAGTAGTGATAAAGGTAATCATTAATTTACAGTTTTCACAATTTAAGCTTAAAGTTTTAGTTATTCTAAACTTGTGATTTGTTTTTAATTCTATAGGTAAGAGATGAAGAACGTCAAAGTGTTATTGTTCCAAAACCAATGAAAATGCCTGTCTTGCCTCGCACAACATGTTATCCAAATAAAGTGTATATAATTTGTGGAGGTCTTGGAGGTTTTGGCTTAGAATTAGCAGCTTGGTTGATAATTAGAGGTGCTAAGCATATACTTCTAACTTCTCGCTCTGGAGTACAAAGTGGTTATCAACAGTATCGTATAAAAGTTTGGAAAGAACAGGGAGTGAATATAATTATTTCCAGTTTAGATGCATCTAAATATTCTCAGGCAACTGAACTTTTAGAATTAGCCAACAAACATGGGCCCGTTGGTGGAATTTTCAATCTGGCAATGGTAAATTTTAATTTCTTTCCTTAGAATTTTTCATTTTCTTTTATAAATAAACATTTTATTATAATGAACTGTATTTTAAAATGTTTTTATATAGGTTCTTAGAGATGCAATGTTGGAAAATCAAAATGAAGAAAACTTTATCAAAGTTACTCAACCAAAAGTCTTAGGAACTTATAACCTAGATAAAGCATCAAGAAAACTTTGTCCTAAATTAAACTGGTTTGTTGTATTTTCATCAGTCAGTTGTGGTCGTGGTAATGCAGGCCAGAGTAATTACGGTTATGCAAATTCAGTGATGGAAAGGATATGTGAAGAAAGAAATAAAGATGGTTTACCAGGTAAATATTACTTTGACATTACCAGTAATAAAGTTTTATTTCTTTTTAATAAGAAATAATTGCAAACCTTTTAAACTTTGATGTATTTAGGTTTGGCCATTCAATGGGGTGCAATTGGAGATGTAGGAGTTATATTGGAAACAATGGGAGGAAATGATGTAGTGATAGGTGGTACACTACCTCAGAGAATAAATTCATGCCTCATCACACTAGATACATTCCTTCAGCAAAAGTATCCTGTTGTATCCAGTATGGTACCTGCTGAACGTAAAGTGAAAAAACAAGGCAACAAGCAAAATCTTTTGCAGAGTATTTCTCATATACTTGGTAAATACATGTATTTATTTAAAAAATATAATTAGAATCATTTTAACAAATTTTAAATTACTTTCAAATCATTTTGTTTTAATAGGCAAAAAAATATGAATTGTTAAAATTATCTTATAATTAGTTTTATATTTTAAAGTATAAAATTATAATTTTTATATAAATTTTTTGTCATTTTAGGAATCCAAGATCCAAATACACTAGATTCAGCTATAACATTAGGTGAATTGGGTATGGATTCTTTAATGGGTGTAGAAGTCAAACAGACACTAGAAAGAGATTATGAAATTAACCTATCAATGCAGGAAATCAGATCTTTAAGTCTGAAAAAACTTCAAGAGTTAGGAGGTCAGGAGTCAAATGCTTTTAAAGATGATTCATCAAAAGTAGAAAAACGTACAAGTGATGTGATATACAAAAATTGGAAGCTGTTAATGCCAAAGGAGATTATTGTTAATATGAACAATAAAACAGAAGGAACTCCACTAATCATCATACATTCCATAGAAGGAGTTGTCACAGATCTGATGTCAGTAACTCAGGAATTATCTTGTCCCGTTTATGGTTTTCAATGTACTACAGATGTGCCACAATCTAGTTGTCAAGATACAGCAAATTACTATTTAGATGTAAGTTTCTTGAAGAAAGAAATCCTTTTATCATTATAAAAATCCTTCAGATTTTCTCACTAATTATTTTTTATTTTTAGTTAATAAAAACCAAAATACAATCTAAAGGGCCATACTTCATATTGGGTTATTCATTTGGTACAGCTATTGCTTTTGAAATAGCTATCAGGTTACAGCAAAATAAAGATAAAGTACAAAAACTATTTTTCTTGGATGGCAGTCCAGCTTTAGTAACATCATATACCAAGAAGCACGAATCAAGATTAAATGATGACAGCATGAAGTTTGCCGAAGCAATGTATTCATTCATTCAACAATATGTACGTGTATCAGACAAATTAAAGGTAAATGACTTTATTATTATTATTATTTTTTATTAACACTTAATAGAAAACATTTTAAAAAATAAATTATTTTTTTTAGTTGATTCAGCAGCTAATAAATTTACCTTCACACAAAGAGAGGTTGCAGTACACAGTTGAAGTAATGACATCACTGTCTGAATTTAAGGATAGTGAAGATGTTGCAAAAGCTGCAGATTCCTATTATAAAAAATTACTCTGTGCAAACAACTACAAATGCACAGGGAAATTCAAAGGAAATGCCATACTTATCAAAGCATCAGAAGGTTTATTTATTACTTCTGAAATAGGAGAGGAATTAGGTGTGAGGAAGGTATGTACACTTTCTGATTTTACTGTAAAAATGTTTCAAATCTATTTATTTATGTAAACTTTATCTTCAGTTCATTGATGGAAACCTAAACGTCCACACGGTCAAAGGCAACCATGTCACTTTCCTAAAGAATCACAGTGGGTCCAAAGTAGCAACCATCATCAATGAAGAGATGAACAAGCAGTAGCTGTGATCTGATAAATTACAATTATCTAGTTGTTTCTTTTTTAGTATTATGTATTGTGGAAAAATTGTATCTTCAGTTTTAATTTATATTTTGGCTATCAATTGCATTACTTTTGATAGCAGTCTCTCTCTCATAATATATATTATTATATATACATATAAATATACAAAAAAAAACACACTGAAAACAGCATTAAACTGACCTAAAATTTGAACATTTTAAAATACCAAAACAGCAACATTTTAAAGTGTTTGTATGACAACTTTAAAGATACAAATTTTTTATTTTTCCCAAAAGATTTGAATACTCGAATAAAAAAGAAAAAGGGACATTCCAGTAACATTGCATTTGATCTCTCCAAAATTGCATCATTTTTGCAATGAATTTATATTTGTGATATAATTTTTCTCTATAGAATTATATATACATATATTTTTTATTTAGAAATGTTGTATGTGTAATATGATGTAAGTATTATTAGACCATGCGGTTGGGAAAATTGTACTGGTAAATGAGTATCAGTATAATAAAACAGTTTACAAAAACGATATTTTGATGTGTTTTTTCATCATTTTGTTGTTGTAATTTCTAATTTAGTGACTAGGACAGTAAGCAATGTTTAAATGTATTGGTATCTAAAGTACTACCTCCATTCACATTATACACTTAAAAGTTTGCTTAAATGACATTGAAACAATATAAACAAAACTGGTTTTAACTTTCTTAAAATTTTAAAAATCAAATCAGCTTAGACTTGATTTAGGCTGCTTACTAAAACAAAGCTCAGAGTCCACTTTTATATTTGTAATATAGTGAAGTCGCTGAAAGAATATTGAGTAAAAATGAGAAATTTACCAATTATTAGATAATTTGGAAAGGGGTTATTTATTCATCATGGCTCAAGAAATCTGGACATTATGAAATTTAAGTGGCTTATTTAATAAAATGTGAAAAATAAGAACATTACTGAAAACAAGATTAAATAGGATTATTATACTTTCACACTATATAATTATAATATATTCTAAATTGCACTCTTAAAAGCTTGTTTAAAATGTTAAACTAATAAAAAGAAATCTTGGTGACACAGCGATTTATTTTAAAGTAGATCTTATGATTTTGCAAAAAATTTTGAAATTTGGGCTCTCAAAAACACAAAATTATCAAATTTCAAAAAAGGGGGAAAATCCCATGTGTTTGAATCTATTTCATTCAATATCTCAGGATGGATTAATGATTAAGAAACAAAATTTGGAATGATAGCTTGTGAGGGTCGTAAATGGTATTAAATTTTGGTGGCTAAAGGTCAGGGTGGAGAAATAGAGGGGTAAAATCTTCATAAAGTTTGACCTAGGGTATTTAAAATCTTTTCATATTGATGGTAATGATGGATTTTATAAGCTTTTTGCCATTTTAAATTAAATAATGAAATTTTGTTACAAAAAACCTTTTACAACAGATGACACCAAACAACTTTATGATTTCATTTAACTATTTTTTATTATTAATCTTAACTGCCAGAAAACTTACACAACTGAATTTTTTTCTTTTCAGGAATCTGAATCTTCTATCTTTTTATCTAAACTGTTAATATAGAATTGTGTAAAGTACATAACTGACCTTGGATAAATCTTCAATAAATGTTCTTTTAAACAACTTGATATCCAAGCTTTCCATCTGTAGATATAAATATATATATATAATTTTTTTTGTAGAATTATAGCAAGATATTTTCTAAATACACTTCATAGATACACAAATAATCACTTTTTTTGTCAAATGGTTAAGTGTACACCCTTGCTATTGAATAAACTTTCATATTTCATAATTAAAAACTTTTGTAATTTATCTTACATCATTCTCTGGAAGTAGCTTGAGATAATTTCGTTTTTGTGTTTCAAAAAAGATTAAAACTATAGGTGTGAAATTATTCATTAAAATAGATGATTTTAAAAAAAGAAAAAACTTTGTTTTTAATATGCAGAGAACTAATTTTATAAAAATGGAGAGGGAAAATGTAATCAGTTTAAAAGTGATTTTATTTCTGTTTTTGTTGAAAAATATATATGATTGGAAAAAACGTTTTAAATGATTAAACATTTATTCTTTGGATTCCTTGCTTGTATGGAAGCTTGAAATTTGATGTCCAATGAAAAACCACAATCTTATGTTGCTAAATCTAGGCTGAGGATAGTGCAAAATAGCTTACAATATTTGGTTCTTAAGTGTCTGTTGCTGCTTTACTGCAGTGTAGTTTTTGTCTTTCTTTCACATAAGCAGATATCAGTGATTGCAATGATTTTTTTTATTTGTACAAAATGAGATTGTCATGTTGAATCATTTCAGTTGAGTCAAACTGCAACTTATATCGTTACAGCAAATGCATAGTTATATATAACTAGAGATTGTTAGTTTTCTTTCAGGGAAAAGAAATATCTCCTATTGATGAGTATAGAAAACATGAACACTTTCAGACTACTTTTCTCTCAGTAAAAATTTTATAGATTGGATTTAAATATAGATACCCTGTATAAACTGACACTATTTAAAGCCTACCGAAGCTCAATTAACAACTTAACAGCATTGAATTTTATTCAGCATGTTCACTTCCTCTGTGTGGAATTAGACTAGTTTCAATGTGGCCACCATTCTTGTAGATCAGGAATTGCATCCTATTGCATTCCTTCAGGCATGTTATGTTTGGGTGTAGAGAATGTTAATCACAGCCCTCATACATTGTCCTTTAAAGTGGTCATGATCAGGATCCTGAACTTGATTACCAGACCTTGGACTTTAAGTAACCCCATGGCCAAAATCACATGGAATTAGATCCGGGAAGTGAGGCGACCATGCAATCGGTAATAACTGACTCTTGACTCTTTCGTCTGCAAAGTGATGCCATAGAAGCTGCTGTACTTTTTGAGCAGTGTGTGATGGTGCTCCACCTTATGTAAAAATTATCTTGTCCAGGCACTGTCTTTGTTAAAGTTATCAAATGACAAAACTGTTCATTGTAGTGCAATATTACTGTGCATTAATGGAACAGGTTACCAGTCCTGTTGGCATAATTTCCTCAAAAGAATAGCCCTACAATGAAATATGCTGTAAAGCCACACCACAGAGTGATTTTTGGGATTTCCTGAAATACATGGGGTGGTTTGGATATCCAGATTCAAGATAGTTGAATGTCCAGATAGAATTTTGAGTATTGATAGTCCCATCCAGATAAAAATGAACCTTGTCTCCCCACAGAATTCTCCAAGGCCAGACATTGACTTCCATTCTGGTAAGAAATATGAGAGAGAATGTCAATCACCCACCATGATTGTTGTGTTGGAGTTGCTATATGCAGATATGTAATGGAAAGTTCTCAACTTCTATCCAGAGTTTCTACACTGTGGCATAATTCATATCCATTTATCATGCTACTGCCAGCAATGATTGCAGTTGCAATATCTGTAATAGTCTCTTCTGGGCTGCACTGCTAGCAACCATTTCTTTAAATTTCTCAATCATCAATTTCAATGCATTAACTGAACCCATCAGAATTTGCATAAAGATCTAAATTCATGAAGGGTAACTGCTGCATTTAACTGAAGTGAATAACTTCACAAGTAATACATGCTAAGATAACACAAGACTCACATTGAGCAGAACTGGTAATCAGGATGTCATTCTGACATTTTTCCATTCCTTTATAGCCAGAATTACTGACACTGAGGAGCCTACATTGCCATGAATTTGCATTAATGAAATATATATTAATAATATGTATATATATTAATTATAATATATTAATAATAATATATTATATAATAATATAATAGTAAATATATTAATAATAATATATATATTAATAATATGTTTTTACTAGCATATGCATATGCATGGATCCATAGGCTGCAACAGTGCAACATTTTCCCCTATCAGCAATATTTGAAACTACAATTTTTTTCACAGAATCCTTCCCACATCATCATTAGTTTCCAACAAATTTGGTACCATTCCGGTTGTTAAAACCTTGTATAGCTTGGTCTAAATAGTGTCAGTTTAATTATGGCCACCAATTTTTTTTAAGTGTTAGTTAATGAAAATTTTTGGAATGCATTTTATTTAACATAATTACATTTTTTTTTAAAAATCATAGGACATGTTAACATGCCCTAGAATTTTCTTACAATGTATAATGAATGCAAAATAAATCTGTAAAACAGTTAAAACACATGAAAATTCATTGATTTTACATTATTTTAATTATAAAAAATTAAGAAATTTCAACAAGACATATACTGAAATCAAAAAGAAAAGGAGTTGTGCATAACAAAAAATAAACAGTTAAAAAAATTAAAGTGAAGGAAAAATTGTGCCCACAGGGTAAAGGTGCCCTTTTTTTCCAGACCTGTTGTGAATTTGGTCAGGCCTATGATAGAGCTGCTGGGTGATGAGGAATGGGTTGGATGTATTGGGAAAGGCTATCCACAGGAAACTTCAGAGATTCAAATCAGAGGCTGTAGACATTCAGACAGTGAGATGCTTTTACCATGTTGGCTGTCCTACCATTTATTATAAGAGTAATCAAACAGAAATAACATTACAATGATGATTAATCATGCAATGAAATCAACTAATTTTAAATTCTAAATAAGTTACAAAGTGGTAAAATTTCACGAGAAAATTCCCAAGGCTTATTAGTATTAGTGACAGCATTAACATGCTAATGTATCTTGAGAATTTTTTCACAACCTGCATCCTATATTTAGTAGAGCCACAAATAAACTGAACTTTTGATGTTGTCAACAATAGCATGCATGCATGTGAACACTTTCTTAGATATGTCAGTACTTGTTTGATGTGTGATAGATGCTTGTACTTGGATAGATCAGAACGCAAAATTTTAGAGTATGTAGGTGTGCACCACCAGTATTCTAAAATGTATTGCTCATGATGCATTGTCAACATTAAATTCTGCATAAAACTTGGTAAAAATTTTACGGGGATGTACAATAGCAACATTTATGACACAGTGTGGAATACACAAGTTTACAAATAGCATAAGTGTTCTAAAGAAGGACATGAAGGTCAACAGAAGGGGATTCATTCAGAATCATTGTTGATTTGTATTCCTGTCCAAGTAGGCCAACTTTGGCAAGAAACAAAGAAATGACTTCCCAAGTTCACAAAGAGAATGCAGACAATTTAGTTGACAGTTTGGTAATTTTGAATGGCTCCATACAGTCTATTCTTCCCAACAAACTTAAAAATGCATCACATTTCACATTGCTCATCCAATAACTTCCTCAAAACATGAAAAACATCAGAACTAAGAACTAATTGATCCAGGATATCCTATACAAAGCAATTATTGGCAATGAAATCTAGTGTTCCTTATATTACTCACAAACACTCCATATCAACATGGCTGAAAAAATTTAGTCTGGCAATGCAAATGATGGCGTTATCTCAAGCAGAATGTGATGAGATCACCTTCACATCCAGTGAAAGAAACACATATCATTGTAAAAGATTTAAACCAATGTTTTCAGTTTATAGGTGACAGAACCTGTTTCATGGAATTTGGCAAGAAGTTTGGCAATTGTACTGTGAGTAATGGAAGGTCTGGTTTGATGGCATTATTTGAAATCTGTGATGACATTTGTGCTTTGTTCACCAGACAAGAGGACCATATCATCTCAACACATTCTGCTTGAGAAAACACTATCATCCACAATTGCCTGTAAAAACAGAAAAATCAGTTAATGCAAAAATTAATGTACACTAAAATGAAGCACATTATTTTTCTGGAGAAATTCTCTTAACAGTTTATCACACTTATTTTTCCAACTTGAAAAACTAAAGTCAAATCCAAGATGGCTGCCACAGATTTTTCCCTTCCCCACAGCTGTGTATCAGAAATTGGATTACCATCTGCCAAACTTATCATTTTATATGGGTATTTCCGTACTTTGAGATACCTTGTACAGAATAATAATAAAATAAATTCCATTTACCCAACTAAGGTTAGTTGGGTAAATGGAATTTATAATTATATGGGAGAAAGCAAAATTTTTCTCAGAATATTTCATATATAGATGAAATTACTACTTCTTTAAGTGAAGAAAAATGAACAGCTTATAGCATCTGATAAGTTTAATCAAAACAATTTTATATTAATGATCATTTTATATTATTCTCAGATCTCTGCAACAGTCATTCATTTCTAGTTTGACTGCAAGAGAAATGCACTGGTCTGCAGTCTTCTGGGTAATTAGTTTTAAGTTCAAATTGTCTCATAATTTCTCAAAAGTTTTATGGATTGAAAATAGAGCCTAAACCTACTTGAACACCAAGACTTCCACCCAGTCGTGAATGCCTTTCTCTAGAAGGAACACCTCTTGTGGTAAAGATCTAAATTCAGAAACACTGTTTTGGCAAAGATCTAAATTCCAACAGGGCCAGATGTAAAAAAGGATGATAACAGTGTTTGAGCAGAGACATCCAGACCGTCAGTAAAGGTGAGGCATGAATTCTGAGTACCACTAGACTACAGAATAAAATTGAAAGACAATAAGATGATGCGACAAAAGAAATGTCTTGTAAGATGTGTCATATGGCAGGTTCATCTACTCTAAAAAAACTAGGACGAGATTAGAAAACCATCTTTACTCCAGACATGTTGAGCCATACTCCTCATCACCCCATTGTGGCCTGATCAAATCCACAATGACTTGCAAAAAAAGTCCCCTTAGTTCATGTAGACAGGAAAGAACTTAAAAAAAAATCTCTAAAATATAAATATAAACATTCTGGATCCCAACAATTATATAATACCTTTGACAATGCAATTTGTTCATAGTTCTAGCAAAAATATACTCGAGATCAAAAAGTATCAGGAATGGTTCAATAAAATGCAAGACTTGAATTTATTTCATCCCCTTCAAAATAATCCCCTCCCACTGCAATGAATACACTTATGCCAACTTTTTCCAATCCTCAAAACATGCATTAAAGTCATTTTTAATGAAATCTCGTTCAGGACTCAGAATTGTTTTATAGCATCAATCGACTCAAAACAGTGACCACAAAGCAGAAATTTTAATCAAGGAAACAGTCACGTGGTGCCATATCAAGTGAATATAAAGCTTGCAGAACTCAATTTGTTCACAAAAGTTCACAAATAACAAAAGCATTATGAGAAGGTGATTATCACAGTGCAAAATCCATGAGTTTTCCCATTACAAATCAGGTCATTTTCTACGAATTGCTTCATGCAAACAATACAAAACGCTCAAATAATTTTCTCTGTTGACAGTTTGGTCAGTCGGAAGGAATTTATGATGTACAACACCATGACAATTAAAAAAAAGTCAACACGACCTTGATTTATGACTGACTTTAACATAGTCTTTTTGATCTTGCTTCACCTTTTCAGAGCCATTCATTTGATTATTGAGCTGCTTAGGTGTCAAAAACAAAGATCCTTGTTTCATCACCTGTAATGATGTTTTAAGAATGATTTGCCTTGAGAATGCATTTCCTTGGCCACTTGAACAATTTTTTTTTTTGTTTGGAAAAAATTCACCATTTACAGGATGATTCAAGATGCAATGCACCACAAGTCCAAATGATTTTTTAAAATTGCTTAACAATATCTAAACAATACTGGAACATGTTCAACAACATCCGTAATTGTTTAAGTCTTTCAAAAAAATTCATAAAACCAACTGAAAAAGATTTTTAATGAAACGGATATAAAAACTTAAAGTTACAATTTAATTATAAAACATAAGACTAGTGAAAAACCTCATGTCTTTTTATCTTCCAATATCTGTATTAAATCAGAGACCAAGACTTTAAAAAACATGGCTACTTAATTCTTTCTTTATAAACAATGCATTTCAGATTAAATTTTCTCAATCAATCCTCAGGATATAAATACCCAAAAATGCATTAACAAAATTATTTGATATATTAATTACAAGTAATATAAAGTACAAAACACCAACCTTCCAACATAATAGTCATTTAACTTGTTTTACCTCCATTTAGCATTTACAATTTCTTTTATAGTTGAGTATTATGTCATACCATATGGGATTAATCTCCATTCCATTAAATCAAGCCAATTTTTACATTGTGTTATTGCAATATGCTCTTTAAACCTTTGCAAATATACATCTTTCTCTCTATATATTTTAATATCACCAAAATCAATTCTCCAATCATTCTCTTCACAATGAGGGAACGAGGGAACTGATATTTTAACCAAATAGCCACTTCATGCTCCTTCAGTCTTGCTTCCAATATTTGTTTTGTTTCTCCTATATCAGGGATGGCAAACCTTTTTGAGTCTGCATGCCACATAGTAAGCATATTAAGCATACTTTTCTTTAAAAATGTTTATGTATGCAGAAGTTTTAGACTTCGAGTAACTATATTTAAATTTGGCCGAATGGCTGAGCGGTCAAAGTGGTAGCTATTGCTCTTGTGGACCCGAGATCAAAACTCCAGAAAATTTTCAGGTGGGTATCCATTCTTCACCACCTGGCTATCCCATTGTGGACTTGCTAAATAAAAAAGCCCTCTTAGTGTCCACAGGGCAAAAAGAGTTTTAAAAAACTATATTTAAATAAATAAAATAATATGCTGTAATTAGAATAAATGTAAAGAACCTGATTGAAAAAGATGATAAACCGAAATCATATAATTCATTATGTGCCAGATGATTTCTTCAACGTGCCACTTTGGACACACATGCCATAGGTTCGCCACCTCTGTCCTATATAATCCTACATTTTCTCATTACAAGTACAATTTAACTTATAAACAACTGAAAATTTATATTTTGTGATTTAATTTGAACATCAAACTTTACATTATAATCTACTTTATTCTTTAGCTTTACAGCCAATACTAAATCAAAGTTAATAAAATATTTGTTATATTTCTCAAATATACCCTGCATATAATAAGGATACATATTTATTATGCTGTTTTATAAATTTAACTTTATTTTCTTTATAAGTTTTAAACCATTTTGTTAATAATCTATTTGGATATCTGTTTGGTATAAATTTTGTAATTAAGTGTTTTTTTTTATCCCTTTTAACTTAAAAAAATATTGAAAGAAATTGTAAGCGCAAAATGGGAGTAAAACAAGTTAATAACTATTATGTAGGAAAGTTAGTGTTTTGTACTTTATATTATTTGTAATTAATATATCAAATAACTTTGGTTAATGAATTTTTGTGTATTCATAGCCTGAGAAAATTTAATCTGAAATGCATTGTTTATAAAGAAAGAATAAAGTAGCCATGATTTTTAAAGTCTTGGTCTCTGATTTAATACAGATATTGGAAGAAAAAAAAATGTGAGATTTTCACTAGTCTTATGTTTTATAACTGAATTTTAATGTCCATAATTGTGAAACGATGATCATTGAGCACCAAATCTCTGACTCAAACAACATGTTGTTCCAGTTGAAGTATATGGTCTACCAGAGTGTAGGTCATCTTCAACGCATTCTCTGCCTTCCTCAAACAGCTTGTACCACTCAAAAACTCTTGTTTTTGATATTGTCACCAAAGGCTTTTTGCAACATTTCCAACATTTTTGTAGAAGTAATTCTGTTGCAAAAACAAAATTTAATGAATGTTCTTTGTTTGATTACATCCAAAATTTTGAAAAATCACCAGAACGAAAATTCTTTACACATAGAATAAGTGTTTATTTGAAAATGGAAATAGGTGATGACATACAGATTGCAGCTAGATGTCAACAAAAATCATATCAAACAGGAAAAACAACACCTTCTTGCATATGCACAGTTTAAATGAACCATTCCTGATGTTTTTGATCATGGTAGTAGAGTACAATGATATTTTCCATCTCTTGCCAACACATTTGGAACTTTTAATCTTTATGTGCACTGCAAAGGATTCAAATAATAATTATTTTAATAGTATGAAAAAGACATTATTAATTTTCTTTTAATAGAATTTAATAAACTGATATTTTATAAAATATTTTAATGAGTAATCTTTTAAATAAAACAAAAAATTTTAATACAATTCATTAAAATCCAGAGACATTGAACTGAATTTGAGATTTTTATTGTTCAAAAAATCACAGAAAATTAATTCGAACAATTGCAGATTTGAAGCAGTAACTGCGCAATGTCAGAAAATTGTCGAATTGTCGGTGAATCAGAAAACAACTCAACAAAATTTTCTCCCTTTTCCAATGCCTGAGACAGAAGAGGATCAATTGGAATTGTACCTATTAATTATAAAATTAAATAGTAAACCGAATGTTTTATATTTTTTTTTAGAAAAATAGATCATTAAGATTATTTTAAGAATAGTTAAAAGCTCCAAACAAAGTTACCATTTTTAATATTTCTTAACATGACTGCCACAACATTCATATATGTCTGACAGTCGATGTCAGATTGAGCCATGTCATAATTGGCAGATACTTAAAACTTATTTTGAGCAATGTCATGAGTATTGACACAATTTTATGACTTTAAATATTCTGAATGGAACTAATCAGATTTTTTTTTAACTTTTTGGATATCAATAGCATACAATACTATCATTATTCTGCTTTAATTTTGGTTCAATTTCTTTAATCCTTTCAAACAAAGTTATAATTTTTGTTTATTTATCTTACTTTTTTGGAGGACTTGGTACTGCAAATGAGGTATATCTTTTTTTTACCCAAAATGGATTCATTTAATATCAAAACAATTACAAAGTTCATCAACACCTAGACACCGGAGTGAAAATTATCCCTACATCAAGAACCTGTTACCAGTGTGCTTTGTGAAAATACAGTTTATCACAAATGTTTTTGAACTTTTGAACAGTTGTTCTTCGGGTAAAATTTGAGGGAATGCTTCAAAAAGTGGAACATGAATATTTAAAACAAATCAAACTCCTGTTAGATGAAATCTGTTGTGATGGGCATGCACATTCATAGAAGCCGACCTTTAATTACTATCTAGTAAGTAAAGGTCGGCTTCTATGAGGGTCTGCCAGGCTACTGATAGATTGAGTTCCTCTTTCCAGTTGACGCAGGTAGTACTGCAGTTAGCTTTGTACATAGCTATGGCTTCTAGCCATTTAAGATGCTCCTGGTGGGGTGTACTGATGACAATCTCAGCCTTGTCAAATTCTGCCTAGATGTCTGGGTCAGTTGCATATGTGGCAAGGGCAGTGGTGTGTCACCCATGCTGTAGATCCACTCGGTGTTCTCATATACAAGTACTTAAGGAGCATTTGGTAAAACCAATATATAACAGGTCTTTGTCTCATCTATTGGTACTTTAAGGAATCAGAAGATAAAAACCGCAGCTGCTTTCAACATGATAGGGATCATATCATTCACTCTAATGCATTTAGAAAATTGGGATGGAGTCTTTAAGAGGGATGGAGTAAACACTGGGAAATATGTTACGATCAGGAGAGTCTTTTTTCCATTCCAGAGGATGTCAAAGATCATAAGACATCTCCTATATGCTATCTAAATATGATGTTTGTTGACTATCTCCGTGTACACCACCTTAATAAAGGGGTTAAAAGTGATTGAAACACGTGTTAGACTGTCAGGAACAATGTTGGTCCTTGGATTCGTGATGGGTGTGCATTGCAAACGGTGTTGTCACTCAACCAAACGATGTATCAGATTAGGGTACCTGTGTCTGGTTGCTATCTTCTTGAAATGAGTTAACTTGGCAGCTAGGGCTTGCAAGGAGGATGAGTGAGAAAAGGTCCTTTTAACCAGAGCATTGAACACTGCAGTCTTGTACAAGAATGGGCCGCAAGAACCCACAGACATGTATGTAGAAGATGCATTAGTTTGCAGTATACCGACATGCAGATGGTGGATCTTTCCAATCTAATGTTTATGTCCAGAAAGTGGACTTCAGTGTTGCTAGTTTGCTCAACCCCTTAAGCCATATGTCATTGATGGCTTGTATAAAGGACGACATGTCTGGCACCTTATTGACAATTTGGTGTACTTATGATGATCCCAACCTTTGACAAGGCTTAGATTGTCATCTGTACACCCCACCAGGAGCATCTTAAATGGCTAGAAGCCATAGCTATTTACAAAGCTAACCACAGTACTACCTGCATCAACCGGAAAGAGAAACTCAATCTATCAGTAGGGGCAGATCCTCATAGAAGCTGACCCTTAATTACCATCCACCCACGAATGCACATATCTTCATCTAACAGAATTTCATCCAACAGGAGTTTGATTTGTTTTAAATATTCATGTTCCATGTTATGAAGCATTCCATCAAATTTCACCTGAAGAACAACTATTCAAAAGTTCGAAAGCATTTGTGATAAACTGTATTTTCACAAAGCACACTGGTAACAGGTTCTTGACATAGGGATAATCAAAACAATTATTTTTAATTTAAAAAATGTATTTTCTTGATTTTTGTTAAAACAGAACAGTTGCAGAAGAAGTTGCAATTTTCTTAGTTTGACTGACATAATTTATCATATGATGCTTTAGCTACAATATGAAGAAAGTTTGATTTCTTACTTTGCAGTTAAGAATTTTTTCCCAAGAATTCCATGCAACACTTCAACTACCCAACAAACTTTGGTTACCACTCTAAATTTATTTGTATGTATTGTAGAAAACTGGCTTTCACCATTTTTAATAATGCTGGCATTTGTAAGCAAAATCCATTTCCTTTCAAGAACTCAGCAGCCTTTATCAAACACAAATAAACTGTCATTACAGAGTAACAATTTGAATTTTTCTTCAGTCAAAATAGTTGATGCATCATTGACATGTGCAAGATATGCTACGAAAAATCAGTTAAATAACCGTTGGTAGTAAGGATTGTGAACAGTTTGCACAAATGCATATGCTTTCAGCCACCATATGATTTTCTTTGGTATAAGTTGTTTGTACTTTTTCACAAAATGCTTAAGTTCCATCAGCAATAAACTTAACCTGTAAAGGAAATAACAAACCCACTAATTTGGTTTCTCTTGCCATAATTTCTCTCTGTTTAATTCCTCACAACAAATATAAATTAGAAACTGCATTCTTAAAAGAAATAGTCCTATTTCTTAGCATATATTTCCAATTAGTTGACTATTTTTTTAAAGAAAAAGACTGTAGCTAAAGCATTGCATGGCGAGTAATGTCAACCAAACTAAGAAACTTTAAATTGCTTCTGCTACTGTGTTAACAAAATCGATAAAAATAAACTTAAATTAAAAATAATTGTTTTGATATTAAATGGGACCACCTTGGGAGGAAAAAAGTATATCTCATCTGATATTGCCAAGTCTTCCAAAAAAGTAAGATAAAAAACAAAATTTATAAAAGTGCATAACTTTGAAAGGGTTAAAGAAACTGAATGAAAATTAAAGCAGAAAGTAGTGGCATACTGAATTAACCCCACTCAAAATATTTAGTCAAAAATTTTTATTTTTTTTTTTATTTTTTCAACAGGTGGAAACAGAATAGAGTCCAAAATTTGCAAAGACACTATTTGGGTTCAAACAAATGTTTTTCAAAGTTTTGCCAAATTTTGAGATGGGACCATAATTTGTATAGTTAAAATAATATAGCTCAGTTAACTGAGTTTTGGACTACATATTGTTTAAGTTATTTTGATTATTATGCAAAATTATTCACACCAAAAATATCTTATTTAATAAAAACACTATAAGCAATTACCTAAAAACTTAACATTTGCATTATCAGCAAATAATTTACCATTTCCTGTAGAAAAGATATTTGTACATTCCTGTAATGAGAAAGAATACAATTATTCAAAATTACTTTTTATGCATTATTTGATTACTTATCAGAAGCCAATTTTGCTCCTGAACTAATGTTTACCGAACAATTCGGACAGACGAACCCACTCATATTTTCAATTATTCCCAAAACTGGAATTTCTGCCTTCTTACAAAATGTCAGTTCTCGTCGAACATCATTAATTGATACACCCTGAAACAAAAGTAAAACTTAATTTTAAAGCATTATATTTGTTCTAAAAATTGTTGAAAAATAATCACCTGAGGCGTCGTGACCAAAATGGCACCATCTGGTTTCAGTTGTTTAATATTTTCAACGACAGATAAATGTTCGTCGGATGTACCAGGCGGTGTATCAATAATTAATATGTCAATATCTTGCCAATATACATCTTCTAAAAACTGTTTTATTATTGCTAGAAATACATTTTAAGCTATAAAACTTCTTAGATTTTCTGCAGAAAGAAATACTTATTTCACTTAGGAAGCAGAAAGAAGAAAAATTTCTGTTAAGTAAAACAGATACCATTCTTTTTTGGTCCTCGCCATATAATGGCATCTTCTTTACGTTTTAAAAGAAATCCTGTTGACATTACGGCTAATGATTTTTCATTATCAGCATAAACTGGTACCCAACTAAAAGAAATTTTAAAACTTCGATTAGTATTGGCAAAATATGGTTTGTAATTTTTAAGAGAACATTCTTCTACCCTTGTTCACACTGATGTACATCTTTATCTTCTAAGCCCAACATATGGGTGATGCTTGGACCACACAGATCAATATCCAGAATTCCAACCTACAAACAGATATTTATTGTAATTTAACTTTTCATTTGATCACCTTTCTTTTTTTTTAAAGTTGATTTATGAGTAGACTTGGTGATGCTGGTGAAGAGTCCCAAATGTTATTGCTCGAGTCTGTAGTAAATGAATATTTGAGTTTTCACTTTTCTTGCAACATATAGCAGGGCAGCAATAAGCATAGTCAGCTCATGTCACCACTGAAACTATTTCTCACAGGTAAAACATTTTGTTTATCTCTGCACAGGTTGCATCAAGGCCACTGCATTAGTTAGATCAAATGGGGTCTCATACCTCAATTTTTGTGAAGTATGGAAAATATATCAAAAACTATACAATCAAATCTCAGTTTTCAAACAACTCATTTTTTGAACAAATCGGTTTACAAACAGAATTTCATATTCATATTTGCCATGGTTGCTGAATAGCTATTCAGCAACCATGGCAAATATGAATATGAAATTCAGCAAGTGTCGGCCACAAATCACAGAGACTCAGATGGTCAACTTCCTATACTTCCTATATTAAAGAAAGTCGACGGCCCAACCAACCAGTGACAGGACTGGTTCAGAAGTTAGTGGTGCTGAGATTGTATTTCATCATTAGACATCAAAACACAGGTCATCAATGATGTTTCTATTTAAATTAGATTTCAATGCATATGTGGGAAAAATACTACTTCCATTTTTCAATACATACCACAGTTGAATTTAAATCAAATTAATTAATAAAACTGTGTTAACAGACATTTATGTAATATAAATGGCATCCAAGAATTCGTGTTTAAAGATGCTTACATCAAATTAAATAAAAATTCACCATAAATGTTTTCAAACTCCCCAGAGTTCTTCTTCTTCTATGTATGAAAACTTGAGATGTAGTTAATTTTTATGTATTTCATAATTCTGATTGTATAATATTGAGTTCATGTAATTGATATCTATCTCACTGGTATTAATTTATGTAACATATGTGATGTATTTGTGATATGCACTTGCATAGTCGAACTGTAAATTTATTATTCTTAATAATTGATCGTGTTAATTAATTGTTAAGTGTTAATTAATATGATTACAAATGATACTGTGTATCAATTGAGTGTGAGAGTATTGCCTTTGATGGCACATCATAAGTGTTGTCCTGCAATACAAGATGCTTCTGCAATAAGTTACTGCACGCGCGTGCAATTAACTATATACTATTGTACGCGTTTATTATTTAAAAATGTATATATATTATAATCATATATTATGTATTTAATTTTACTCATATTTTATGTAATCAAGGTTATACTCATATATTATGTAATTAATATTATATACTTGTATTCACCCGGTTATGCACAAGCGGCACCGGGATATGTCTTGTGACATATACAAAATAAATATCTGAATCTGAATCTGAATCTGAATCAGGTATTAAATGGATGTCCGAGGGAATGTAAAAGCTTTGGAACACAACCATTTGAACAATCATTCGAATTGGACACACAAGAAATTTTTTAAAAGAGTCATGTCGCACTTGTGCATTCAGATGCCTAACAGAGACCAATGTTTAAACATTGGTGGCAATCAGCACTTGCCAGGCCATTAAAAACCAACTCCTTATAATTAATGCATGTAGAGATGAAACTAGATTTAAATATGTGCACGGCCTCCAACCATCTTAGGTGCTCAATGGGACTCAATGTCTGGATTGGCAGCATATGTAGCGAGGGCTGTGGTATATCGTATGTTGTATATCTGTGAGATGCTGCTGTAATCTGACTCCCAAGGAGTGCTTAGTTGAGCCAATGTAAACCAGGTCCCTATTGTACCTATTGTTCCTAATGGGGACACTGAATAATATGTTCCATTGGACATCCATTTATAGCCTGAAGAAGAACTCTGGGTAGTTTGAAAACATTCGTGGTGAATTTTTGTTTTGTTTTTTCTTTTAACACTGGTCATTGGTTCGTAGGGTACATTGTTGACTATTCCCTGATGCTGTGTGTTGTTGTTTACAATATTAATATTCAATATTTATTAATATAATATTACATTACATTTGTAGATATTTTTTGCATGAAATATAGCTAAAAAAATGCAAAAAAGGCTTTATTTTGGGGGTCAGAAATGGATTAATCCATTTTATGTTATTTCTTATGGAAAAATTTGTTTCGTTTTTAGAAGAAATTGGTTTTCAAACAACTTTTAGGAATTAATTACATTCAAAAACCAAGATTTGATGGTAATTATACCTTTTACATTGTTAGAAAAAGGACAAATTACAGAAATAAAACACTCACCAATTGACAAAAATGTGTACAATGGGTGATCAGTTAATGAACATAATCCATTCCAAGACTTTGTTCACTATCTGAATTGTTCATTAACTGATTATCGATTTACCATAGGCTTTTATGGGAATTTGATTAATTCATTCTGAAGTTCCCAAAAAATAAAAAAAGTATATACTTTCTTACTATGTTTATTTATATGTAATAATAAAAATACATATATACACAGTTTTACATTTTTCATAGTAATGTTTTTTCTGTTTAAGGGGGTTAAAGAATCTGTCTAATGTCAATTGCTTTTCTCTTTTCTTCAAGATTTTTCAGAAGTAATTAATAGCATTGTAATTGTAGAGATCCCTAAGCCTATTAACCTCAACCTGGTTTGGATGCCATTCTAAGACCGTTGTTCTGACATCATTCAACTTCTTCAAAAAAATGTTTAATAGCAGATATCGACATTAAATCTCTTTTTCAGAAGAAAACATATCTCACCAAGTTTCTTGGTGTTCTTCATTCAAGAGTTCTTGGCATTTTTCTGTCGCCAGATCTGTTTCAGGTTCCATTATGAGCTCTTCAATGTTCTTTATTTCTCAGATGTGATTTTTGTTACTCCTTAAGCTGCTTGAGTCTTCTTGATTATACTGTGTCCTTCTTAGATAAGATTGAACTGTGGCCTACTGTAGATTTGTTCAAGCCATACTGCTCAGCAACACCAGACATCTTCTGCCCACTCTCTACCTTTGCTATTATACTCTCACCTTTCCAAAATAAAAACCGACACAAAACTTAACAAGTGCCTGCCCAACAGCCTCAGAAATACTATAAAAAAACTGTTTCTGTCAGAAAAATAAAAAGCTGGAATTACAAGGGAGAGTTTCAAAGTTCAGAAGAATACTATCCGATCAGTATATACTAAGTTAAGAGTCGATGTCGATGTCTCCCGTGCTCCAAAAAGTTGCAAATTGAGAGAAGACCAATCGGTATTCATTATTTTATGTTGTTTCTTATTGTGTTTGTTCTGTGAGGTGTTCATTATCCGATCATGTGTTTGTTGTCCAAACATAAAAATCTTTCGCAAAAGTGTTCGTTATCAGATTTGTTCGTTAATTGATCACCCACTGTATTTTGTTTATTTTTGTAACATGAACAAATTCAAAAAATAAACATATCAAATTTCATTTCCCTGTAAAATATCTCAGGTTTCACAGATTGACATCAGGCTTGTTTGTAATTGGAGAAAGATGTTTCATCTTTTAAGGTCAATACAGGAAAACTTCATTTCTTTCAAGAGAAATTATCAGTAGAGTTGGTGCAAACTCCTACTTGAAACAAACCAGGAGAAGTTTTATTACTCTCTAAACAAAAGCTTCATCTGACTTGTAAATACAGAATCTCATTTTAATAGATTAATGGATCACAGAACAACAGATTTCTTGGAATAATTTTCCCCAGATCCCACCAAATCAATGTAATTTTACCTCCTTTTAGCAGATCCATAACTCAGAATAACAGATTTTTTCTAGCCCCAGCTAATGTAAACTTTGCATTTTTTTCAGCATTTAGTTAATAGTTGGGTGTTTCCAAAAATTTACAGAGTTCAAAGATGAGATTGTTACATCTCGGATATGTACAGTATAACTGAAGAATTGTATGAAGAGAGTCAGCATGCTGATTTCATTGAGGAGGAGCTACCTAGTGAATGTTATGACACCGATCCAGATGTAATGCCAAAATATAGCAATGACATTGAGTCTTTCCAAGTCATGAAGACCTTCCTGACAAGTTTCATCATAAATGAACAGGCTTTACATAACATGCTAATGTCAAGTGGTTGTTGTATTCAATAGGCAGAAAAGTGGCATCAAAACAAACCAAAATGAAGTTTTCCTGAACACACAAATTTGGAAAGAAAATTCTGTACTATTCAATACAAAAACATGGAATCTGATGAATCCATACTGAATCACGATTTTACACACTGGAAATTTACAAGCTATTTGTCCTCCATGTCTTCAAACGACTTTCTTGAGTAGCATGGCCTGAAACATTCCAGCTATGCAGTAGATTCATAGGAAATGCACCTCCACACTCAACTTGTTTGATATATACAGTTTATTTACGAAAGAATACAGTTTATCAAGATACCACATTGTACTGACACAATAACAACTGAGGACAAGTTAGAATAATTGGGAATGTCCACTCAATAATTTCCATACGGTGGAGAGGCTCTATCCACACTTTTGTCCGATCTTAGACCTCACCCATGCCTGAGCATTCCTTCCTCTCTCCCTACCGTCAGCAGACTTGCCAAGTATCTGAGATCTAAGTACTATCAGTACTGAGCCTTACCCTCCACACACTTTTCTCCAGTCTTTGTCCCCAATTTAAAGGTTTTTTTGGGAACCAACTTCTGACCAATCAGGAGGAAAATCATAAGCAAAGCTTTCCTTTATGTCCACACTGACCTGAATGTGGATAGTCATTCTGCCCTTTGTTCACTTGTTTAGTTCCTGTTGTTCACATACCAGATTACACCTGAGTCCGATTTAACTAATTACACATTACATAACCTTGATAGTCCAATGTTTTGAAATCCGACATGCTCAGTAGTCCGAGGCACCGCCCATCAAGGTCACCGTAGTCCCCGTCCCCGTCACGTGTCTGCTTGCACAGAAGCATGTTGCGACATAAATCTCCCCACCCAATTTTTACACGATGACACACATTTCGTATGTTTTCCATGAGCAGTTCTGTTCAAACAGTTGGAGTAGGGTTTTTGTGTGTGTTTTGTGTGTATGGTTTTAGTGCCAAACTTTTATTTAACCCTTCCCAAATTGCGTGATTTTCCGACCGCACTTTGGTCACATGGTGTTTCACAGAATCCATTTTTTTCCCTAAAATTGTAAAATTATTGGCTTTGCTTCAAAAATTATTATTACATCTTTGTTTTCTTTATTTTCTCTACTTTTAAACAGTGTAAAATATTTTTATATTGACACAAATGCTTTATTTGCATTGAATTTAATGTAATTTGATACGAAAAACACAAAAAATAAACATATCAAATTTCAATGTGCTGTAATTTATCTCCTGTTTCACCGATTGCCATCAGGTTTGTTTGTAAATGGGGAAGAAATATGACACTTTCAAGTGAAGTGAGTAGAAATTTTGCACTACTGCAAGAAAATTTGTCAACGGACCCCGCGTTACCCTCTACCATGAAAGTCAATAAACGCTAATTGTTTTATGACTATACTTCAAACACTTCTTTCTGAGTTGTAAATCGACTAATTGACAAAGTTCTTACTTCATTTTACTCATGTTTTAGTTAACCAAAATGGGTGTTTCATTTCCATATTAACCTAGGCAGCATTTTACTCATAAAATGTAGGAATATTGTAGGCTACTGCTAGCAAAACAATGCCAAATATGTAATCACTTTTGGTAATCTGACACCCCTTTAATCTCATACCTATCGAATTATCAAAGGACAACTGTACTTTTTTTTTTCCCAAATTAATACTTTACAGTGCTGTATTGTATAGACAAATTTATAAAATGAAAGATGTGTAATAGAACATTGGAGAAAAAACAACAGAAAATTGAAATAGATGACATAATAAAATGTTTTGAGTTTGAATAATTTTCCAACTTGATTGTTAAAAAAAAACTGGTTGCAAGAATTGCGAAAGACAGAAAAAAGAAAAACAATAGAGAAAATATTATGACAACTCAGCAATAGTGGTACATTGCAATAACTAGAAATGGGAAATTTTAAAAAGTAAAATACAAATTATAAGAAAGAATAATATTATTAGAATTAAAAGGGCAATAATGTTGAATAAAAAAAGCAACAAACTTTAATAAAGGATTACAAATAGGTAAGGTCTAGAAAGATTATGTAGTGCAAGAAGATACTGTGGGGAGAAGTGGGCACAACTCAAGGAGAGAAAGTAAAGTGTAAACCAGAAGTATGGCATTGTATTATTGAACAGTAATTAGTTCATCAAGAAAATTTTCTTAAGATTAAAAAATAAAAAATTGGGTGATTAAAGATTAAAAGATAAAACATTAAATTTTTACCTTTTTTCTGAATTTTCTGAAAGTAAGAGCCAACTGTACGGCAACTGTACTTTTTCCAACACCTCCCTTTCCTGACATTACCAACAAAATATGTTTAACATTAGATAAATTTGATGTTTCACCTATAAAGTAACAAAATTGATTATTAACTGTAACAAACTAACTTATACTACTTAAGTAATAATTAAATAAAATAAATACAGTGGTGCCTCGTACAACGTACTTAATCCGTTCCAGGTGCACGTCCGTTAAGTGAAACGTCCGTTATACGAAACGCATTTTCCCATAGAAATACATGTTAAAACATATAATTCGTTCCGCAGCATAAAATAACCGTACTGTACCATAAAAAATGAAAATGGAGCAGACACCAATTATGCCGGGTAGTCAGATGTTTGAGGAGGAGGTGGAAGAACACTTTCTTTACACATTCATACAGATACAGACTTTTTACACATTGCAGCGGGTCTTTTTTTATTGTTTTTTAATCGGAGTCAGATTCAGGAGAGGCTACCGGAACTTGCAGGGTCAACTTCTCTTGTTCCATCCTTTGTTTTTTGCCCGCTGGCTTCTTGAAAAACATGACCAAGGTGGTCTGTTTCTCTTTCTTCTTTAACACCTGTCGGAAATGACGGACAAAGGTGTCATCGTAGAGATCATTGATCCTGTTGGCCTCAGCTCTGTTTGGATAATGAGTGTTGGTAAACTCCTGAACCTCTCCCCATTCGACAAGAAAGTTTTTGTCAACTTTCACTCCTGATGATTTCTTGCTTTGTTTCAATTGAAATCACCTTTCTGTTTTTTAGAAGCCATGATGCATTATAAATGACTTAACTTGCCAGATTATATGATACGAATAATTCTTTATTAATTAAGATCACTAAACACTCCTACGAGCTACTCTCGCTCCGTTTGTTTTTTACCTCTTTTCGTCCCGCCACCTCGGCATCTACACAATTACATTTCGTTTATTTGAATCGTCAACATATATTACATTACATTTAATGTTTATTTAAATCATCAACATACATTACATTACATTTCTACTTCAGATATACTAATAATACATTCTAATAATACTAATATATCCCAAAAATAGCAGATTGTCATTGGCAACGGCAAAAGAGTGAAAACATTATTCGCACTTGTTCAAAGAAAGTCCAATGTTCGTCTCACGTAACTGCCGAAAGAAAAGTCCGTTGTTCGCAGCAAGTCCGTTGCTCGAGTGACGTAACGGTCAAACAGAAAGTCCGTTATTCGCAGCGTCCGTTATTCGAGGCGTACGTTATACGAGGCACCATTGTATATTGATATCTTTGCTGATAATAATAATGATCAGGTAAAAATTTTATGGGACTTCAGATTGCATATCAATAAAATCCTAGTGTACAACAAACCAGACATAACCATTATCAAGAAGAAAAGGTGTGGATTATTGATGTTGTGATTCCTGGTGACAGCAAGGAGCAGGGTTAATGATAAAGAACAAGAAAAAATTACAAGACACATGGACTTGAAGACTGAACTCCAAAGATTGTGGCACAAACCAGCAACAGTAGTATGTGATTATCAGTGCACTGGGTTCCGTTCCCAAAAACATGGGGCAGCACTTGAAGCAAATCAACATTGACAAAATTAACATCTGTCAACTTCAAAAAGCTGTGCTGCTTGGGCCTGCAACATTCTAAGCCATTACATTACAACATACTAGGTTCTTGGGAAGAACCTGATGTGAATGTTAGTCAGCACAAACATGTGATCTGTTTGTTGTGATTCATCTAATAGAAATAAGTCAATAATAATAATAACTCCTCTCTCACCAGTCACCACCTTGCTGTGGTAAGAGAGCTCAGTAATTCTGAACCTCAGAGCTATGCTGGCTGGAGCATCTGCTCCTGGTAGGGTCACCCAAGCCAGTAAGGTCTGTAGGTAGAAATGAAGCCAAGAGTGACTGAACTGATATCAGTGGAGATCTAACCATGGTTATAACATGGTCCATGTGTAATACTGGCTTGGTCACCAGTGGTGAAAGCAACACTGGTCCAAGTATGGCTACTGCAATTCCCACACAGCTGTAGGAAACCAGCTTAACATTGATGTTTCTGAGGCTTATATAATAGACATCTTCATTCCAAGTATTCATAACAAAAAATGCTCATACTGAAAAAAATCAACAAATATACTCTACTTGCACAAGAAATAAGACAGCTGTGAGGAAGTATTTATTATATCTGATGTCCTCTCTTCTACTGGTGTTATACCACATACACTACACAGAAATCTAGCAAAGTTAAACCTTAATAAAAACATATATATGACACTAGACAAAGTTGTAATATTGAACACGTCACATTGTTAGGAAGTTTTTAGATGTTGACACATAAACCAATAACACAGAAGCTTAATGTAACACTTGTTTGGGTAGCTAAGCCTTGACTTTAGTTAGTTTAGCATAGTACTTGGAACTAGTATCCACTGAGCATGACATTTGCAAAAAATAATAATAATAGTGGAGGAAGAACAATTAGAAAAAGTATCAGTATTTTATCCATTCAACCATTGATGAGTTAAGCACATAAGGAAGCCAGTATTAATTATCAGAGCCCAGACACAACTTGTGTTGTTTTAAAGTTTCAAGTAATTTCAAAAAATTATAATGTTTTAATGAACTTATTTAAATTATAAATGAATGTAATTTTTTCCTATTAACTTTTTTAAAAAGTTTTCCTACTAGCTTTAGTTAAAATAATTTAACTTAAATAGTACAAAGTGGGAAAATAATTTCAATAATACAAAAATTTTCTTGTCAAATCTGAAATTTTCCTTTTTAAAGAATTTTTTGATGTTCATTACTTGAAGTTTGTCCTAATTGAAATTTTTGAGCCTTATAAAAATTTGTTCTGAAACCATTGTCATAAATAAATTTTGCATTTTTGGATGTCAAAAAGTCTGTTAATTATTATGTGGTTGTTTGTAACGAGAGATTTTTAAGTCTGCGAATAAATGTTACAAATAGAAACACAGGAACAAAAATGTGTATGATTGAATATTCCTTTAATGCTCTCTGAACAGGTTCTTTTTTCTTGTTTTGTTACAAAGATCCCAACTTAACGGGTTTCTTTACCCTATTATCTAGGGTTTCTCATTTCCCGGTCTTTTGCTTGTCCCAGGATTCTGGGATAAAAGTGAACTGTTTCCCGGGATCCCGGGAAATCCCGGGATAGAATCAATTATTTTTAAGGTATACAAAATATCTTGAAATTAAATTATATAATTATTTTTCATTTTTTAAAGTAATTTTAAAGTTCTGTATCATCCAAAATCATATTAATAATGCTGTGTAAGATATATAATGAAAATTACCTTTGAATTACGTAGAAATTTTCACAAATAGAAAAAAATTTATTAAAGTTTGCTAGAAACTGCATACAACAACAAAAATGCTTTGAATTGAGTTAAAGATAAAAAATTGAACTTAGATCAAACTTATAACTTAGAAGGTAATTTTCGTTTTTTAAATAAAATATAATACAAAATATTGTAAACTTTTATAAGATTTTAAAAAGCAAAGATGATCAATACTCCGATCACTCACTCTAATTCTTATTTTAGTAATGAAAAGTCTTGCTACCGAGAATGCCCTTTCCGATTCAATTGATGTGATTGGAATCGTGTTTAATGCATTTAAGAGAAGACAGATATAATGTGTTTTTTCACCTGTAGCCTGGAAGATTTCGAGTTTGTTTTCTAGATTGTAGTACTTCTTTTGCTCTCTGGTATTTTTGATTTGCCTACCTCTGCTGCTTTAATAGCGGCATCAAGCTTATAGCTCAACAATTCGGCAATTTGTTTGGCTTCAATAATCAGGTTTATGAAGAAAAACTTCATACTTGCAGACTTTATACTCGTTTGTATCTTTGTCCAATTTGCACAATCTGGCATTTATTGAAGCTACTGGGCATGGTTAAAAATTAAGACAGCGTAAGCACAATTATTCCATATATTACAGGTTCTGACAAGTAAAGAATTTTCAGAGTCCTGGCACAAATAAGCTACGTATTGATTATCGACCATTTGTGGCATGCCATAACGAGCAAAATAAAAAAAAACTAATATGTAGGTTTAAAATTAATAAATACAAATGTATTCTGACAGTGAATGAGATAATTATGCTTTTTATTTGCAAAATTTCTTAACTTTAACACAAAATAAGAAAAAAAGTGAATTTTTAAGAAATTTGCGGGATTTCCCGGGATAAGAAAAATTTCCCGGGTTAGAAAAACAACCGGGATCCCGTTTGAGAAACACTACTATTATCCTCACAGGGAAATAGGTCGTCTCCTATTCTCGTACAAGTATATAATATATGCACATGTAACACAAAACCTTGATAACCAACTTAAAAACTAATCTTATGTCTCACGTAAAACTAATATAACAGGGAAACAATTAGATTTAGGAAATTGTAGAAAGTATAAAGAGATAGATAGAGAGTATCTGGGTCCAGGTTGATTGATCGTTATCTTCGGGGAGGCGCCCTTTCATAGATATGATCTTTAATCCTTCTTTACTGATTCAGCAATTCGTTCTTGAAGTTCTCCGATTCTTTTGGTTTTCCTTAGTCCCTCGTGCTTCTTCCTCTCTAACCTCAACAGTCCTCTCTTATACCTGCTGTCTTCTTCCCACTTCTCTCTTTTCAAGCTTTGCTCACTACACTGTATGTCCGTTCCTTTTGAGGTCCAGCCAAAAAGCATTCTCCTCTCTCCTCGCCTCAGGCTATATTTTCTTTTGTTTATTTCCCCAAATTTGGAGCAGCACTAATACCTTACACCTTTGTTTCACCCTTGGTTCTGAGGAGGAGTAAACCTCCCCCCTCAAGTAGTTATATATTTTTTTTTATAAATAGAGATATACAATGTGTTTTAAGCACACACTATGTCTGATACTATGTTTCAAAAATAAGCTTCTATTGAAGAAGCACTCTCATCAATATCTATGCATGCTTGGCCACATAACTGATAGATAAGATGTCAACTCTAAATGAAGGATTTGCCACTTCCCAGTTATTGACCCCCTCTACAAGCTGTAGGTAGGAAGCTTAAAACACAAATCATATTTAATT